GGGGGGGGGGGAGGCTGCAGCTCGCGCCTCTCAGTCCGACAGCGCGTGCGGAGCGCTGGGTGTTCGCATTGCACCAAACCGCCGCCCGGAGAGAAAAGCTCTGCCTCCGCCCGCCTCTGGAGCTGTGCCTCTGCGGCCAGTCGCGCCCGGCTTCTGAGGAAGAGCCCCGCAGCGTGAACACGCTTCATTTGTATTTTTTCTTTCGGGGGGGGGGGGGGGGGACATTCGATGGATGGGGCGTAGCCAGGAGGAGCAAGGGCCAATGAGCGGCGTAGAGCCTTTATACACGCGCGCGCGCACGCACTCCTTTGCAGAATTCTAATCTGATCTTATTTCTCATTGCTTCATAAAAAAAAAAACATCCCTGGTGGGGATTTCCAAGTAAGCTAGCAGATGTGGTATCGATAATGGAGGGACGGACACACAACACTGTTTTTGTCTTTTTTTAACGTTATTTTGTGTTCTTAAAGGTCCAGTGTGGCATACCGGACACTGCCACCTACTGGTAACACTGGTAGATTGCATCCAAATGTTGAAAACGCCTTCCGTGTTGTGTCCGGGGGGGATTTAGATCTGTGAAATGCAGATTATGGCTGTTATCCGGAACAAATTAACTATCTATAAGAACCTTAATCCCTACATTTACACTATTTATAAAAAGAAAACGACAGGCACCACTTGATCATCCTCCACTTTACCATGGTTTTTATCCATTTACTCATCCAGTGTCGCACAGTCTGGTGGTGTGGAGCTCCACGTTTTGGGATAAACCAGTTGAAATAAATGTCCTTAAAATATCTGTGCTCATCTAAAGCTGAAAACAAAGCCAATATTCCTGTGTTCATAACAACGCTCAGTTTTAGATCCACCAGGGGCCTAAGAAGCTTGCAGACATGGTCAAACGGGAACAATGAGGAGTTGTTTTTCTTTGTCTGAGCCTGTTGTGTCACACTGGGCAGTACCATCCTCCATCTAACTTTAACCCATTCTAATTGTGTAGAGAAAAGCTCCAATAAATGACAAAATCCCCACCTTAAAACCAGCGTTTATCTGCTAGTGTAGAGGCGGGAGCTGGGACCACTACTCCATAATAATGAAAGTCAATAAATTGCTCCAGGTATTTACAAATTTGAACTTTGAACATAACATCTCCAGTATTTTTAATGTCTCGCTTTTCTGTTAACTCTTTCAGACTACCTGAATGTAAGGTTGCATTGGGGGGGACACTGTATCCTCAGAGGATAAAATGTCCCTCTCCCTCTATGCGCTGTAATCCGAGCCTCCGTGTTCTGTGCTGCTGAAGCTGGTCAGGTACATGCCCTTCTTTTTCGCAAAGAAAAAAATGAAAAAAGCTAAACGAAACCTAGGGTGCAACAGGGGATTGAATGTTCAAGATGGATTTACATACACAGACACACATTTTTTTTATCTTAAGAAACATGTATAAGAATTAAAATAGCATAATGAGTGCATTTTGCATTAGACATGAACCAGAGGAGGCTCTAAATGAGCAGCTTTCTGGTTTGGAACAATGCAGCAGCCACAACATTCTATCCCCCGTCTGCACCATTTGATCGATTGAAGGGAAACGGCATAAAGAAGTGCCTGGAAAAGATATCCCTTGTTCATTGTTTTTTTTTTCTTGCTACGGTTGCTTTCTGGTTGAATTTGTGTTTGTTTTTTGGGGGGAGTTAACTCCACGTGAACGACAATCAAAGGGAAGAAATCAAAATATTGAAACCACCAAGTCATTTTTCAAAGTGCCAGAAGGCCCATCGAATAAATATCACACAAATTGTAGAAAAGCCTCTGGTGCACATTGTTGATCTGATTGGAGTGCTGCTATTTCAGGGAGCGAACTCACAGCACGCCCAACATTTTCCTTTTTTCCCCTCAAATCAGACAGACATGAATAAGTATCAGGTTCAGCCAAACCTCCAAAAGCTGCTGATTGTCTCAACTTTTTCCCTCATCAGGAGGACGCTGATTTAGCAACGCCTGAAAAAAAATAAAAAGATGCAATATACAAGTCTGAAAGAAGAGTAGCTGTGCATATGTGAACACTGTTTAAAGGCTTCATGGTGAGGGATTATTTTTGTTAAAACTCAACAAGCACCACCTTTCTTCATGAGACTGATGAATGTATGGACTGGTGTTCCCCGAGTGCAAATCATCAAATTCATATTCAAATTAAAGTAAACTTCAAATAAAATAATTTTAGAAGAATGGATACAAAACCAGGGTGTTATCCAGACTGGTCTATAACAGAACGACTCCTTTCACAAAAACACACTGAACATTATACAAGGTGTGTGGACTCATTTACAAGACAAATGTGTATCGAAACACGAAGCTCAAACATGAAAATAGATTTATTTGAAAATATTCAGATTCGGTGTATTTACATTAGCCCTTATTAATTACTCTACTGATTTCCAGTTTTACTGATTACCATATTTTTGCTTTGGTGCATCCGAGTCTAAATTTGTGAAATGGAACAAGTGACCCATGGAAGGATTAACAATCACAACAGTAAAAACTCTTCTTTCGGTTCTAACCTGTAGCCTCTCCTTCTCAGATGTGATGTTTGGACGGCCTGCACTGAGATTATCAAAATGCATGAGATGGTTTTGATTCCTTGAACACATCCTGCACAGGTTGAACATGCAATCCTCGGTGCTATAGACGCTATAAGTGACCCTGTAAACGTCATCTCAGAGGCCTTTGGGGCTTACCGGATGAGAGAAATGCTACAAACTAAAAGACTAAAAGGCCAACTGTTTCACCTAGGAAACACTTTTTTTTCTCAAACACTATCATGGATTTGTTTTTCAAACTACGGGTTGATCTGTTCCAGGACCACACCTCCACATTGTTCTGATGTTCCATGTTTCTGTCCTGTGGTGACCTGTGTGGCAGATAAAAGATGTAGTGTAGTACCAAAGCAGGTCTTGCTTGTTTAAAAATTGGTCTAGTTTAGCCTCAGGAGAAGGTAGCAGTGAGGATGGCCTCTTGTTGTTGATGGTGAAGGGTTCCTATACCGACAGCAGGGGCGGGCAGAGCAGGTCGACTCACTAACCGGAGCTGACACAGACAGAGGAGACGGTCAATTTGCATGATGAGAGGAATTTCTGAAGCCTTGTGCTTAACACTGAAAACAGGGTCACATGTCACTCTGCCTACCTTGCAGGCGAGCTGCTTCTCAAACCTGGGCGCGATAAAGGACCAGGGACCCATGTTCTGAGGCTCCTCCTGACTCCAGACAAACTCTGTGGGGTAGTTAGGGAAAAGGAAAAAAGAACAAGAAACTGATCACAAATGACAACAAGAGGACAAAGTTCAGTGTTTTTTAGGAAAGCTAACAGCTTCAATCGGTGTGAAACAGCTTTCTTTGGTGTGTTTTTCCTCTGCAAGTCCTCACAGAAAGCTAAAGTGAAACATGAACTCTCAGGATGGGTTTGTGATGAAAACTTCCCTCACAGCCACCTTTACAACGACAAACATGAAAAAGCCTGTCCTTTGTGGGATAAATGTAATCACTTTGATAATATTTCCATTGTCATTGTTTCCTTGCGACACATATAAGCTATTTGAAGCTGAGACAATGGGCTTAATATTTTGGACAAATGGACCAAATATAATCTGCAGTACTGTTACATTAATCTGACGAAAATCAATAAACCACAATGATATACACAAAAACCATAAAATGTTTCCTTCCTTTGTTATATAAGTGTTACTGTGCAGATAGAATACAAAAAACAAGATGACTCTAAAGACATAGCCTCTACTTCCTGTTACATAACATCAAACTGCATGAATATATATATATTTATATATAAATAAAAAGGAACGTCTTATTTCCATCTTCTGATACATTATCATTCTGTTTAATTCCAAACAGAACTGAAAAAATAAAGGGGGGTGTGACGGGACCGTAGGCGTTAAGGAGAAGGAGCGAGTCACGCTAGTTGGAGTACAATGACAGAAAAAGGTAGATATTACATGTCACTGTCTTGAATGCAGCTCGTCCAGCCATTGTGAGGGGACAAAGAGGCAGAAAGCTGTAAGGCAAGAGCCCTGCAGAGAACAACAGGGGAGCGAGTCTGGCGACGTAGATGCAGTCAGGTAAGCCAGTGTAGCAGAGCAGTGCTGAGGGGCATTCAGCAAACTGTGACTCAACACACAGGCCCGTTTTGTGGCTGCTTCTACACATCTGACACATTAACTGGAGTTCTTTGTGCAGGGAATAAAATAAATGATATTTAGAGATTTAAAATAAAAATGAAAAACTAATAGGAATCTGCTCCCAGGAAATGTGAAGGATCATTTATTTTGGATACTACAAGAAGCCTGATATCTGTGAAGATTGCAGTGTGGACTCATAAAGCAGGCGGGTCATGACGGCTCAGAAAGCTCTAGAAAAACCTGTTTTATCTCACAAGGCCGGATCAGTGTGATGTTGTGCTGGTCGGTTTCTCAGAGGATACCAGTTAAGAGGATTAAAAACAAAACATGAAGAGGCCACATTTTCCCTCCAATGCCCTTTTCAGAAAATGAGACACTCCAAGGGTTTAGCAGAGGAGGCATTCAGACACAAGTCTGATGTACGCTAACCATCCTCACAGCTTCATTCAGACAGGCACACGCGCCTCCTGCAGCATTTCTCTGTCATTTCAGCACCCTTGTATGGTTTTCACGTAGCTGTAATTCATACACAGTCTGGCTGAATGAAATTTCCATTATAGCACATTTTCTTTTGTTTTCCTTCAGGCACTTTCAGCCCAGCAGGCGATGATAATGGACCTAAAGTTCGTTTGCCAGCCGCAAATAAGATGGGCATGAAGCCCTGACTGATGTCAGAGCAAAAGAACTAAGGCAATTGCGTGAATAACTGCCGAAGGCGATTTTTCTAAGATGTCAGGAGTGAAACAGAATGCACTGTCAGGCAGTTTGCACTGTTAAACATCCACACGCTGCCCAAAAGTTACATATCCAGCCAAACTTGTAAACTCTTTCTACATGCACTGACGTTTCTACTTAGCCTCCACACGAGGGTATTTGCATCCTGTTGGCTAACTTCGTACTTGGAATTAAGTTTTAATCTCTCTAATCAACCTGACCTTTGACAGTCAGGTGCACTGACTTCCTCCTGATTGGACGTTACCATCCCCAAGTTTGCCCTTAACAGCAGGGGGAGAAACGGTGTTTATCCTGCATGTACACAGACGCTGGGGCGCAGACAGGATATGTGGGTGTGGACGTAAGATTTCCATGAAGAGAGAATTAAACACAACTTGTGATGTTATTGTGACTTCCACGTTATCATGAAGCTGAACTGGAGGGAGCTATTTACCAGCCAAATCCAAACTACCAACCACTTTATTCAAATGTGTCCAGACTACAGTTAGTGGGAAGAACGTCTGAAATGTAACGGCATGACCGCACACTGCCGTCACGGCTTAAGCTGTGAACTGACAAAGATAGAAATATTTCACATGATAAGCAGTTTGAAACAAAAAATGGTTTATCCTCTAAGCAATCAGGTAAAGTCCCCCCACAAGGAAGCAGGAGTTAGTGGAGGGAAGCCACGCTTACACGGGGATAACATGCAAAATCCTCCCAGAGAGGCCCCAGCTGGGATTTGAACCAGCTACTTTCTTTCTTTGGGCACAGGGAATGCAGTGTTTTCTTTGGAGCCAAAGGGGAAATCAAATATGCAAAACAGAGGAAACATTGGACACAAAGAGACTATACACATTAAACAGACTGAAACAACGAGCTGACTGCACGCCTACCATGCAGTAGACTTAAAAAAAACAAAAAGACCACATTAATTCAGCCTGAACTTTTTAGTATTACCTAAACACACACGTTCATCTGTTACCCCAAAAAATAGTGGGATCGGAAGTGTTGAATAATCTAAAAATGATCTTGAAACTAACTGCGCTCACTTTAGAGGAAAGCTCTGTTTCTCAGTCTTGGGTCACACTACCTTTGGCATTGGGGTACTTTTGGAGCTCCTGCTGCAGAGCCCCCAGAGGGAACGGACACAGCTCCTCCACACGGATGAGCGCTGTGTTCTGGTTGGCTGCGGACGCCTCCCTCTGCTTCAGCAGGGCGTAGTAATGCTTCCCGGAGCACAGCACCACCTTCTGGACACTGAGTGGGTCAAGAAAACTTTCAGTGAGACCTAATGTTTAGGTTCCTTACACATGCAGACCGAGATGATGCACGAGCCCAATGTCGCTCAATTTGTCCCAAAACTTTCATTCATACACAGAGATCTTACCTGCACTACAGAATTAACAAACGGATCAAAAGCTATCCCAACTGTCAATCCAGTATACACCACATACCTCTCTGCTGAGACAGAAGTGTCCCCCAACACCGGCTGGAAGGACGTTCCTGGTGCCAGTTCAGTCAGGCTTGACATGGCCCCCTGGAAAAACAGCCAGCATGATGCCCCCGCTGTGACGGACACGCTCAGGAAAAGGAGACACGACTCCCCAAAGCTTCCCTGCAGCATCGGCAGTACTTACAGAGAATCTCAGCAGTGTCTTCGGTCCGACCACAATGAGAGGTTTGCGGAAGTTGCGTATCATCTGTCTCCTCAGCAGGTGGAAGTACTGAGCCGGCGTTGTGGGGTTGACCACTGCCATGTTCACGTTGTCGCCATCCACGCCCTCCTCTTTGCTGTCGCACATCTGAGAGACACAGCAGAGGGGAAATCAGAGATCTTCATAAAACGAAAGAGCTGCACATCCAGACGCCCATGGCTGCAGTGTGTGACACAACGCCAAACACTGAGCATATTGGCTCGTGGTGATTGAAAATTAAGATTCTGATGCAGAACAAGGGTCTGAAAAGGACTAAAAGTGGATATCAGCTGACACAGCCTCTTCTTTCTGCTTCATGAATCTAATCTCTCTCTATTTGCTATTGATTAAAGCTGCCTTTCACATGCCGTTGTGCCCTTTGAACCAACACCGATTCCAGTATCCGGTTCAGGCCAGTACTTTGCTTGTATGCAAACTACTCAGTTATGAAGACGAGGAGTTACACATGCTTTAACAACGCTGTGTGCTACACGGCTGAAAACAACAAGGAGTTCGCCCAGTCTGCAAAACTCAGCCTGTGAAAATAAACGCTTTTGGCCTGCATGTCCTCCATGAATGGGGATAATATGGGATTTTGTCAGATGATAGGCATGAGAATCCCAGCTGCGGATGTTTGCCGTCAGTGACAGCTCTCCTCTTTCTCTTTGGACAGACGGATGGAGATATCACTCTGCTGAGTGAACGTACTGGCAGCTTTGGGTTTGTTTGCCTCTGACATGAGAAACTCTGTCAGAGTTGTACAATGGCATCCTGGCGCACACTTTCATTTAGCAGCTTCTGCTGAACGTCTGTTATGCGTTTTTAAAGTACAACAAAAATTAAGATGTTTTAGATCTTTAGAGAAACACACTGCTAGTAAATATAGTGTGACTGCATGATTGTAAATGTAATATGGCCAAACTTCAGAGAAGTAGAAACCCTTCTGTGATCTTTGAACCCACAGGCTTTTGTCTGTTAATGCATGTAGTAAAATATTTGGGAGTGAGAAGATAACCTCTGGCACCATCTGAGGTGAAACATTAAACCTACAAAAACCTACACAGTGTTTTAGTGCACCAGCCCGCGGCTGCAGGGGCGTTTACACAATGTGAGCATGTATCTTAACTGCTCTGAATGTTGTGCGCTCATCTATGAATATTGAATTTAATGAAAGTAAAAAAAATGTCAATGACATCAGAGTTTTTGTTCTGAAACAAACCTTCTGAAATATTTTGTAATATCAAGCACAATGTCGGACGCACTGAGTAATGGTGACTTAGATTCCAAACTACAAACCAGTGAAGCGTCAGACCTGGAGGAAGCGCTCCATGCGGCAGGACGAGTGCTCGGGTCCGGCTCCGTCGTAGCCGTGAGGCAGCAGGATCACCATCCCACACTGCAGCAGCCACTTGGCCTCCCCTGCGAACGCGACATCATCAGACTTTTCGAAGATTTTCAAGTTTCCTTGCAATCTTTTTCACAAGAGGGGCCCGAGCTTGACCTCCAGAGAGGAAGGTGTCAAAGATGATCTGCGCTCCGTTGAAGAAATCGCCAAACTGAGCCTCCCAGATGGGCAAAAGCTTCGGCTGTGCGATGCTCATGCCGTACTCAAATCCCAGCACGGCCTCCTCAGACAGAGGGCTGTTGCACACCTGAGGACAAAAATACATCACGGCCCGGCCCATCAGAGGCTACAACCACAACCCGCATTATTGTGCTGGTCAAGTCTGCTCACCTCCAGGAACCCGGTCTGCTGGGGACTGATGTGATTCAGAGGGATGAACATGTCGTTGGTGTCCTGACACACCACCATGGCATGCCGCTGGCTGAACGTGCCTCTCCCGACGTCCTGCCCGCTGATCCGAATATTAAAGCCTGTAGCAGTGACCACTTCCAATTTACAAATCCATTTCTAGGCAGCACTGACATTAGGAGTGTTTCTTTCTATTTTTATTGGCACACAAACCTTGAGAGAGAAGAGAGCCAAAAGCCAGGGCCTCAGCTGTCGACCAGTCAAGCTTTGTTCCGTCTTCCAGCTTTTGCAACCGGGCCTGAGTTTTGAAGATAGGGACAAACAGAACCGAGGAGTGGATGAAGATGCAGCAGCATCTGACAGAGACACGAGGACGAATGTGGTACCTGCATGTGAGTCTTTCCGAGATGGCTGTGCAGCTGTATTTGCTCGGGGATGTCCACAGATTTGGCCCCTACAAACTGCAGCAGAGGTACGGGGACTCCTGTGTCCCAGGTGGTGACCCTGGCCTGGGGCTCCACTAGATCCCCCCAGCGGCCCTGCAGGTTGGTGGGGGGTGGGCTGTACAGGGTCATGTTGGCCAGCTTGTCATTGAGCATGCCGTAGTGTCTAGATTTGATCTCTTGGCGCTCCGCCTCAGTCATCAGACCCTCAGATATCAGCTGGTCAGAGTAGGTATCAGGGACGCTCTTACGGGATCTGAAACCACAGCGTAATGAAGGGATCTCCATTGCAGGCTCCATATTTTGACTCCATTCGGCTTTCACCCTTTTTGAGGGTAGTTAAGTGCATAAGAAGTGAACAGCCTATCTTTTCCTTAATCTCTCCAGTTCAACGGAACAGACCTGATGATCTTGTACATGGCCGGGTTGGTGAAGAAGGGCTCGTCCAGCTCATTGTGGCCCCACTGGCGGTAGCAGATGAGATCCAGGATGATGTCCTTTCTGAACAGCCGCTGATAGTCCACAGCCAGCCGCGTGGCCCGCAGCACATCCTCCGCATCATCGCCGTTCACGTGGATCACAGCACAGTTCACCATCTTACCTTTGTGAGTGCACAGAGGCCCCGATTAGAACGTCATCTGAGCCTTGTTTGTCCACAATAAGAAAATCCATTTAATGAGAAGATATAAATACTGCGTAAGCCTCACTAACCAACATCACTGCAGTACAAAGACGACCTTGCTCTCTCTGACGGAGTTGTGTAACCCACTTGGTTGTTCACGATGAGGTGGATGCTCCCACCAACTCTGTAGTGGGGAAGGTTCGAGAGGGTCAAGGTTTCTGGAACAATCCCCTGACCAGTGAAAGACCCATCACCATGGACCTGTGCAGAGAAGAAGAGCAGAAACCTGGATCATTGTGGCAACTTTCTGCTTCAGATAAACTATTTTCTTTCTTTGTTCGCTGGGGCCTGACCTACAACATGTACAGCCAGAGAGAGACAAAGAGAGAGAGAGAGAGTTGTTTAAATATACATTCAGTTTGAAAGGATTCTACATTGAACTAGCTCTAAAGCGACTTCAGCACCAGCCCTGTGCCTGTTTGAAAGCAGCCAGAGAACAGAAAGGCTTTTCAAAGGTCAGCCTTGTGAGATCGACCCCAGGAGGGACGACCTCTGTGGGAGTCCTGTGTTGTGTGTCTACAGGATTCTGTAGGGAGCCCATGGGGTTACACAGTGGCATTTCTATGAGTGAGCTCCCCACTACGTGTGCCTGGCACTCTTCTAAACATTAACAAGAACAAACAAATGTCTTCCTCTGCTAAAACTAAAAATATTCCCTTTGAACATGTGTCATGCATGGTTTGGTACCTGTAGGCAGATGACTTGGTCGCCAGGCTGGGCATTGTCCTCCGGCGAATAGTCGCCCTCCTTCCTGAGCTGCTGCCTGGCTCGGGCTTTGCCCTGAGCTACGGGGTTAATGGCCTCGAGGTGAGATGGGTTGGGCAGCATGGTGACATGAAGTGGATGTCCTGCTTTGAAATCTAACTCCACAGAGGATGTGAGGTGGGAGAGGACGTCCCCGATGGCGGGCGAGGTTTCTGGGAACTCACTGAGGCCGCGCATTTTACGGAACATCAGCTGGAGAGGAAAAAAAAACGAAGCAGGGCAGTCGTTTGCTGTTTCCGAGTCAAAGCGGGCATGAAGCCAGAAAAATTACAGGACAGGCAGGACATTAAACTGTCTGAACTCAGACAGTCATAGATAAAAAAATAAAGTGTGGGGAGCTCTGTAAGCATGGCCGTGTGCAGCCGTCTGACCTCGGGCGGGAACTTCAGCAGGCCGGTCAGGAGGTTGAGTCGGCCTCTGTGAGGCATGCCGATAACTACATCTGTAACTCCGCTGTGTGCCGACTGGTGGAAAAGCTCATAGAAAAATCCCATCATGCTCTCTGCTCCTTCTCCTCCATAACGCTTAACGGTGGCAAACTTAGTGGCCAGAAAGTGGTCAAATTCCTTCAGGTTGTGAGAGAAAATGTGAAGAAATAAGTCAACAATAAGACATAACCCTCGTTTTCTTCAACTGAATACAGACGCTATCCTCTTCTTCCACTGAACCTACCTGTGACTCCAGCATGATCTTGGCCAGCCGGATCCTCTCCTCTGGAGCAAAGCTCTTTTTCTGGAGCTCCTCAAAGTGGTTGGCGAACCACTCCCTCTCTTCCAGGCTGCTCAGCTGGCTGGTCTCCACAGACAGGTGCCCACAGTAGGTTTCTTCCAGGTAGGCACAGACCTCTTCCACAGAGGCTTGTGCTTTCCCAAAGTGCTGCAGACCTTAAGAAGCAAACCCAAAAAGTAAATAAGTCCAAATAAGCAATAAGTGCAAACAATGTGGCAGACCAAGATCAGCTGGACCACCAAGATTTATAAACACACCTGTTTTGAGAGCAGATCTGGTTTGACGCTCAACATTTCAAACTGGTTTTAAATTTGTGTGGCCACACATTCACGGATATTCAATGACAAAATGATTACTTACGCTTAAACCTAATGCAGCGATTGTACATGTAAGATATATGTTCATGAGGAGTGACTTAAGCAGCACGCGGTTTGGTGCAACTACAGGGACATATTTGACAATGTAAAAAGTTAGAAGATAGTTACAAACTGTACATTAATCTTTGTGCACTCGAAAGCATGGAAATACTATCACAAACAGCTCCTCCAGCTCTCACTGGATAATGTGTTTAATGTTCAGTGATATGACCAACCTTTAAAGAGAACGTCTGATATATGCCTTTAAACTAGTGCCTTTAAACACTCTCCGTTTACCATTGTTACCGTACATGGTAAACAGAGAGTGGGATTTTTAATTAAGACTTGCAGCCAGGAACAATGTTCTAAAAAGTCCGAGCCACCTTGCAACGTTTCATCGGAGATAACTGAATCATTCTGAATTGAGAATGATTATTCTAATTGATAAACATACTTTACAGGAGACATTGTTTTATTCCTGACAGTCAGATACAGGGTAGATTTTTTTTATATGTACACACTAAAACGGCTAAATACTTGTGCACTTTTACTTTTAAATATATGTAAAATAATAGTAAACACTTTTACTTCACACAAGTACAGACTTCATGCATCCCTTGGACTCACTGCTACCTTTCCCCTTTCTTCCAACCCCCCATCCCTCCCTCCCTATTTGTCCTTGGTGTTATGATTTGACTGTATCTGTGCTTAAGTGTACTGAGCTGTTGTTGTTTTTTTTCACACTGTTACTTCCCCTGTAGCGGGCGTGACACTGGGCCTTTTTTTTCTCCTCTTCCCACTGCCACTTTCCTGATGTATCTTTGTTCTCAAGAAAACGGGTGCGCCCTTGAGTGGCTGCCCACGGTCTTCCCGTACTGGTGTGTCCATGTGTTTTGTTTGTATGATCTTGGTACAGGCTGTACTGGAAGTAATTGCTCCTTGTGAAATCAATAAAGCATTCAATCAATCAATCAATCATCTATTCTACAGTTGATTTTCCTTGTTTGATACCTACTGGGCCTGCCTACAGTGTAGCTTCCAATATTTGTTGCATATTATGTTTGACTTGATCCTGTTCCATGTATGGGTTTATACGGGGTCGCTTTTTCCAGAATTAAAACCAAAGCAGGTTTGGACAGATTCTTCCTTGACACAGAGGAGTATGTGGCAACAGTGGCAGTGGCAACACTGTGAATAAGAAACTTAATTATCTCCTTTTGGAGCTTCAAAAGTGTCAGACTACCAGAGCTTTTGTTTGGCAACTTAAAATAAATGATGGCCACATATTCTGCAAAAAAAAGAAAAAAAGAAAAAACACAAGAAATGCAGTCAGAGTCACAAAACAGTGGTTTGTGAGATTGTTTAGTCCAGGAAGAAGACGAACAATGTAACTGTCACGCCTCTGTCTACACTTGTGGAAAAGATAATCCTTTAGGTGTGGGCGTGTTAAGCACAGACAATTACAGACTAAAGTTACTGCTCAGATAGAGCCACAATTAGTGTGCATCCCCAAAATATTGGAAAGTATATAGAGCCAGCAGAATGAAATAAAATAAAAAACTCTTAATCTTAAAGGTTCAACAAATGAATGCATTAAAAACCACTTTGAAAATATTCACAGGTAAACAAAAAAAGGTTAAAAGATGTTTTTTTTCCAGTAAAATGTTGTATTATCTTTGGAAATTATATTTTCATTGAGACTAAACTACTACCATCGTTTATTCAAACAACTCCAAAGGAAAAACTGTGCCACAACCAGTGGCAAATCATCAGTTGAGATTTATTTCTAGCTTTTCTGGGATGAGGCTGCTGGTAAATCCTGTAATGACCAAGGTCGTCATTGAGGTTGTGAACGGTAAAAGATAAAGATTCTGAATAAAAATACAAGATTTAAGATTTTTTTGGGATAATGAATAATGTGAGCAGGTGACAGTAATGACAGTAATGTGTGTGTGTACTTACCTGAGGTGTTGAGTGTTCCTGTCATGGTGTCGGTCAGCATGTTTATCTCAGGGACGCTGTCCACAACAGGCTTCTGGGGTAGTAAGGGGTTAATTTTAGCAGCCTTGTGTCCGTGTGTTCTGAACGCCTCCACGAGACGGGCAAGACCATGATCTGAGCCGAAGACAACAAGACAGAACACACGTTGAGCTGAGCTTCCACCAGCTAGCTCAACTATGAGTTCAAAAACATGTCTGTTTTCCTGGCTTGCATCAACAGCAACACAGCAATTTGCTCACTCTCAGCCAATTAAACTGGAGAAAGTTTACACAGAGGCACTTTGTCCACGAATTTAAACCGGGAAGCTACCAATTGCACAACTATCAGTGCCACTGACTTTATTTTACTCGGTTAAGAGCAGTCACCCACTTAGCAAGAAATATTAAGTCGCCGGGGCTGTAATTTAACTCCATACTGACCTTGGTTCAGCGCAGAGAGCCGGTCGCCCGGCAGCTCGTGCTCCCGGCCGGTCTGCTTGGGTCGGTAACCGTACACCCCTCTCTCCGTGTGGTAACAGCAGCCCAGAACTTGCCGAGCAGCGCACGGAGGCAGTCGGCTCAGCGCCGTTTTCAGATAGAGCAAGGCCGACATGTTTTAGCTGCGTCTTCAGTCTCGCGAGTGACCGAGGGTCTCAGCAGTCTAACGGCTCCAGGACGGCGGCCATACTGCCGCGAGCGCGACGTGATGGGAGGAGGTGCCGCACGGGCAGCCCATTGGCTCCGGTGCCCGGGCACGTTTCACGACGTTTGACAAAGAACTTGTTTCCTTTTTTTGTTTTTTGTTTTTTGTTTGTTTGTTTGTTTGTTTGTTTGTTTGTTGATGAAGAGAGTATTTTATATACGCGACACACGCGCTTCAAAACTATAGCAGAAACTGAGTTTGTGTCGAAGTATAAAGTCTGGTAAATAAGGAGCACGTTATGACGTAGAGCAACAAGTGTCCAGATAGTAGAAGGTGCTGTGGTGCGTTCAGGGGCTCCTTTTAAAATACTAAATTGTAAAACCAGCAGCAGGGTGTCATAATCACACTTTTCTTTACTGTGGAATTACATACACGTCTCAATCATAAAGGACACATCTATTTAGCCTTTAGAAATTATTTAGGTCAGTGAGATAGACTAAATGTTCACCTAAAGTCACATGTTTGTTGACCCCTTTAGTCCTTATAAAAATGGGAACTCAAGTATTCAAAATACCCAAACCCGTTTAAAAATAAAGAACTGGGGGCTCATCTTTATAGAAGAGTTATTTCCTAAGATACATGAATAATATATGAGAACACATTTCAACACAGCGTATGATGAGTTTTTTATTTAGCAAACTTCAAATTTCTTTAAAGCCAAGCAGTCAAAAATTAAATAACCCTATGATGACTGTTTCATGAGTACTTAATATTGCTCACAATTGTCAGGCAAGTACAAGGATCAACCTTCTTACAGAATAGCGGACATAAACATTAAATCAAATAGACTGCATTGTAACTTTAATGCGGGAGAGGAAATGAGATAAAACATATAGTCAGAATATTGAAAAGAAAGAAAATGGCATCCATAATATTTCCACTTACAGCTGACACCAATAAATAACCTTCTCTTTCTTGTTGGATTTCCACCACTTGGTGGAGATATTGCACAACACTCTTCGTTTTTAAAATATTTCTATATTTCTCATGGGGACATTTTACTGTTGAGACATTTGGATACATTCTAAAGAAATTCTCAATGCTCTTACATGGTGCCATGTGCCAACACTGGGGCTAATTGCAATCTGCAAGTGCGTTTTGATGGCTGAGAACATTTCCCCATAATCTATTTGCTTCTTATGCAGATATCTTTTTAAACTCAAACCCGTTTTAATACTCAAATATTCTAGTTTCATCACAATCAGAAATCACTCCAGGTTCCCAGCTTCGGAAGATATGAATCATATTGGGTATGTCTTTATTCTAAAAGTATTTCACTTCATGCCTAAAAAGAGGAAACTCCAGTTTCCGTCCCACATCATTCTTATAATGCTGCAGAGAAGGCTGTGTCTTGGTTTAAGGGTGAGGTTATTTAACTCGCTAATACTCCACTGGAAAACAATACTACACGCCACTGAGGCTACTGTCCGAACTTTCAGAGGCTTGTTGTGAACGGAGCAATCTGAGAATCCCAATCCAGACTTAAGCTGGCTGTGATTATGGAGGAAAAGAAATTGACAACAGCACAAAGACATGTTATATTGAATAAAATCCCTTTTATTGATTTGTTAGGAATATTTGCTGCTTATTGTTAATTTTATGCAAGCCGGCTGCAGGGCAGTCACAGGATTGGCTATTAAAAGAACACCCCAGCTGAGTCTTTCAGGGTAAACATGGAGGAGGGGGGTCATCACTGTAAAATACTGTGCAAAGTCATTCTAAGGCTTTAATTCAAATGAATGAACTAGTCACCCCTCTAGCATGTAGATATTAATCCTTTATAGTAGCAGCCGTCAATTCCAACTTTTTAAGTTGTTCTCTCTCAAATGATGTCACCACTGCATCACTGGCATGGCCGCTGGAAACTTGAGAAAAAAATTGTTTTTCATTTTAAAAAGAGTTTTAAAAAATGAGGAGCTGTATCATATGTTGAGATTTTATGGAAATATTTGAATATCTCAATAGGAATAATCAGAATGGGTTGAGATACAGTTGGGCTTTCCACTCATGGAGTGTTTTCAAGACCAGCCAAGGCAAACTCCACGATGTGCCGCGGTTTTAGAGCAACTTTTTGACAGATGTGATGGAAAACTCTGTAGTTAAACTCACCTCCCCACTGTCTTGTTTTATCTAAAGAAATTATATTTTGACAGAGGCTTCAACAATACGGACTCGGTAATCAATGCTCATTCAATCCAAAATGTCCAATGCTTTCAATCCCACCTGATCAATCTAAAGTGATAAAAGTTTACAAGATTTCCAAATGATAAAATGGTCAGATTTTAAACTAAAGCTGAGCAAACTGCTCTTCTCGTGTCTTCATTTACAATTCTCACAACCGTAAATACACTCCAGGTCGACAGCTTCACATATTTTTAGAACCAGCCAAATGCAGAGCCCATGTAACAGCTACTGAATGCCACAGCAAAGAGAAACACAGAGACATGACACACTGGGGGGGTTTGCAAAAAAATGCTACAACACTGGACAAGCACGCACAAACACACACACACACACAGACACGGTCAATATTAGGGGAAATGGTTTAATTCAGAGACAGAGGCAAAGAAACACACCACACAAACAAACATTGATAAAAAAAACAAAACAAAAAAACAAAAGAACAGAGTCTTTCAGCTACACACTCCGCTATATGGAAAACTACACAAAGAAAAGCAAGGCTCAAACTAAACAATTAATTTTTCAACTTAGACAATTATCCACACAAGTCGTCAAAAAAAAAAAAAGTCTGACTACCGAATCATGTGGACACCACAACTACCAACATGAAACTTACCACAACTTAGACGATCCCAACCCTCCCCGAAACTGATTAATGAAGTGAGGAACACGTGGAGATCCAAGTTAAATCAAAATCAGGCATCTTTCAGAGGCAAAAGCAGGAAAAAAAACATTTTTTGATTTGTTCGACAACCAAGAGTCCAAACTTGAGATCCGGTCAAGGCAAGGCTGCATTGAGAAGCCGGACAATTCTTTTCCCAATATAATTTCTTTTTTCTTTAATATCCAATATAAAAAGCTTCACTGGTACAAAATACATATGAACAACCAGTTGTAGAAATTGGACAACCTGTGTATAATTCTGTTTCTAACCCCTCCTTGCTCTTCAAATCCCACCCACTTTGAAAAAAAACAAAGAAAACTTGATATAGACTGAACAGAAATAAACTGTACTGTGTGAATAATACGGATCACACCAAGATGCACTCACTTTGGCTTTCCTCAAGACAAGACGTTTACTAAATGACTGCTGGAACGGGAACAAAGTCCTACTATCCAAAGTCCGAAGTCCTATTATCAGAGAAGAAAATGCTTTTTTTTTTGTTTGTTTTTTTGTTTTTAAAATAGGTTCAAGACTATATAGAGATGCAAAGCTAACACGTTCAAAAGTAGCACTTCAGAATGAGAAACAGAGGAGTCAAAGTGATTATTAGAGCTGATCTAGATTTGTGATGGAAGCCCCTGAAGTGAGTCGATTTCCTGTTGGGACTGCTGTGACTTTGAAACTCTCTAATACCCCGTAGCCATCAAATGCCTCACCACAAACCTGCCTGACTTTTTGAAATGTTTTAATTCCCTTTGAGATTTTAACATGGCGACCCGGCTGAAATTTCTTGGGCTTTATTTAGGCTCGAATTTTTAAACTTCAATTCAAAGAGAAACTCCCAGCTGAACTGATCACACCAGATGTTGGCCGTACACATGTGCGCACTCACTAAGAGAGACGTTTACCCTTCAAACGTATTGGGAAGTTTATTGTTTTATCTACAGTTTTTTCTTATTTTTTTTGCTTAAAACCAACTTTTCAAATGGAGTACATCACAATACACATTTACCAATAACTCAACACACAAAGTAGAGGGAGGGGGGGGGATATTAGCAGGTAACAAGAGCTTTCATGACACTGGCATAAATAGAAAAAAAAACGGGGAGGGGGGGGCTGCAGCAATCTCTAAACCAAGGCCTAATAAGAATGTGTAGGCAGTTTCTAGACGTATATATGGCACTTTGAATATTGTATTGCATTTGGATAGAAAAAACACACTGTAAAAAGCACATGCCCATATTAAAAGAGAAAATCAGCGGTACCTTGAAAATTTGGGGATCAAAATCACACACACCACATTCTGCAAAAGTGATCAGCTCCCACAATTGTGCTTAACATTTCCTTACAAAACTATAATACTTCCCTTGAGCACTGTTTCAAATTTGGTACCTTTCTTTTTTTTTCTTTTTTTTTTCCTGGAACATTTATGGGTTTTGAGAAAAAGGAGGAAGAAAAAAACATCCAAACTGAGAAGGTCAAATGGTGAAAATTGTGCATTTTGTGTCGTGATTCGGTGTGAGTGTCAAGTTTCAGACACACACGAGAGGGGAGGGGGGGAAAAAAAGACAACAAAAAAATAAACCCTGAGTTGACAGCTCTTTAGCGCCACCAGGTGAGCAGTTTTTGGGAACCCTTCTTTGGGGTGTTTTGTTTTTTTCTTTTCTTTTTTAAACCAGGGTTGTCTCAACGACTTGTAGCTCAGAGAAAAAGCCACCCCGATAAAAAAAGTGTAAACTTTGTGCTGAATAATGGAATGTATTTGTAAACCAACACTACTGTGGTGGGTTTAGTCATTTTAAGCGTGCTGTGCGATGTGTTCAACTGAAATTTGACGCAGAAAGCCACTTAAAAAAAACAAAAAGGAAAATGTGTCTAAAATGTGCAGAGACCCACAGGTTGTGTTGTGTCCGAGTGATCTTCTCTTCAGGGGCTCCCACGTGTGCGACCACGCTAAGTGGTGTGAGTGGCTGTGTGTGTATGTGTAAAGAGAAAAAAAACAAAAAAATAAACAGAGTTCGACACATGGGCACTTCAACAACAGAACAGAAACAAAACATTGTCTAGCATCTGCATGATTAACAAACATTGTAAATCATCTTTCAACATGAGGCATCCAAACTGAACCAAAGTGAAACATCCAGTAATTAAATTAGTAATGTGAAATTCACGGAAAGTCAACGAGACGTACCATGGAAGTTGAACACTTCTTAAACGCAGGAAAACGCTTTGCCTCAAAATGTGACCTTAAAAAAAAAAAGTTTTTTTTCTTCTTAAACCATAAGTCAAGATTTATATTTAATGAAGAGGATTTTTTTTGTTTTTTTACTTCTTTAGATTTAATAGAAATGACCCACGAACAGTCACATTGATCGAACTGATTTTTTTTAGTCCTCTAAAAATGTAATACACTTAAGACCCAGCCCCCCCAAAAAAAACACAGATGACGTACAACATAAATCTACAAAAAAACCCAAAGTTGTGCCTGGGTCCTGTTAGTTAAACTTCTATAGATTCAATGGTATAAAATATAGGTAATCTAAGTGTGCATTTAAACCACAGATTGTCTATTTGTGAATCAGTTCTAAAAAAGTTGACTCGTGTAGGTAGTCATTTCTCAATAGAGCAAATGTACCTTGTATTGTGCCATCAATAGTTTAAAAAAAAAAGTAAATACACTGGATAATTTTGTAAATGAAAGGAAAACGTATTTTAAATAGCCTTGGTGTAAATGTATTCACATTGCCCAAATAATGTAGAGATCGATACAGATCACTGAGAGGGATTTTCCTGGTCAGACTTTCAAAAGTGTTGGAAAGTGGTCTGTAGCATTTTTTTTCCTTTAAGAAGCCAACATATTGCTAATGGCACCAAGAAGCACAGCTGTGTGCCAATCCCTGTATTCAACTTTCAAGTGAACTTTACTGAGAGAGGTAAAATGAAAGCAACATAAAAAAAGCTAAATTAAAAGTAAGAAATCCCACAGGTTTTTAAAACATTCGCCAAAAAAGGAAAAAAAAAATCTCATTAAATGAATTCAACGCAGTAAGTTTTCACATTGATTTGACCTCTCTCCTGCCAGTCACATTTCTATACAGAAACAAAGCAAAAAGAAAACAAATGAATATACATGCAGAAAAATCAGGTTGAGCTAAGGTCAGGGTCAGTGGGTGGCCAGGTATTGGTCAGGCGAGCTTAGAGAGACATCACAGACAATGGTGGGATGATGAGGCCAGGGGGGGTTTGGCTTGGCTTTCAACACCATGAAGACATGCTAGGCTAATGATGAGCAAACAGGCATGGAGATTTGTTCTAAAAAGGAACAAAAACACGAAGAGAGAGGAGAGACAGAACAAAGAGGAGAGAAGAGAAAGTTAGGGGCACAGCACAAGAATCGTTTAGCCATGAGGCACAAAAACCAACAAAAATAATGCCAGTCACCACATACACAGTAAGGACAGTGGGGTCAACGCTGCCCCTATCCCGACACAGGAAAAACGATACACAGATTTAAGGAAGTGACACAACCAGGACATATGGCAGACTGACATGCACATACTGTATACTTGGCACCCAAACAGATCCATCTAGAGCCAGTCCCTTGTGGGAGACTTGGAGGATGGATGGAATGACTGGAGGAGGTTGTTAATAGAGAGACAGAGAGGTAGCCTAGCTCAACATGGCTTAGGTAATGAAAGAGAACAGAGAAAGAGTGGGGAGACAGAGAGGAGGAGTGGACGAAAGACTGAAGAGTGGAGGACTGCAAAAGATTCACATGAACGATGATACGAATCAGACAGACTACGAGTGAAAAGCCAAGTGCAGGTTGAAGCTCTGGGCTCAGGGTCCGTGTGGCTTGGCTTCAGCCCTTTAAACACTACGACTGATCCTTAGTCAACCTGTCTAGCTTGACATGAAGGCAATGAAGTGGCATGGAAACACACTCGATGCTCTCCACAAAAATACAGTGACACAAAATACCTCCAGCGAACACTGACTCCAGTGATAGTCATAAATAATCATATACATTAAAATATTTAGTCAGATTCAAAGTATATGATAAAACCGCAGGAATGAAATACAGCAAAATGTGGAAAGATCATTGCAACCTTTTTTTTCTTTTTCTTTTTTAATTTTAAGGGAAAAGGGTCAGTCTCCCTCTTCCTGTGTCGGGCTCCTTCCCCTTTGACCCACTGAGTCTCTGCTGTGGTGACCTTGGCTGGAGGGTGAACTTACCCTAGCAGTGCTAGCATTAGAGCTGGGGAGGGGGGAAGACCCCAGGCTAGGATCAGTAGGGTTTGCTGTCATTCTTGGAACGCTTCAGCTGAACCTTCAACCTCTTCATTCCTATCTGGAAGCCGTTCATGGCCTGGATGGCAGCTTGTGCAGACACAGGATTGTCATAGCTGACAAACCCTGAGAATCAAGTGGAGATGCAAGTTACTTAGTGCCACCCAAAAGGCGACATTCTGAGTCCTACACAAGTCTAAAAACGGTCAAATTAACAGCTTTCAAGTTTAAGCCAGCAATTTGTGAAAGGAGAAACATCATTTTTGTTGTCCTCCATTTAAAAAAAATCCTCAAAGACGGGAAATGATCAGATAATTAAATGTCAAAGAAGCTGATTATTTTCACTCAAGTGACAAGTTACAAAAGTATTCTCCAGAGCAGACTCACCAAAGCACTTGCTCAGATTGGTCTGTTTGTCGATGAAGACTTTGGCAGAGACCACGTTTCCAAAAGGCATGAACATCTGCAGAAGATCCTGGTCCCCGAACTCCTGCGGCAGGTGGTAGATGAACAGGTTGGCGCCCTCTGGCCCTACTCCATTAGGTAAGAAAACCAGCGACTCAAGTTAGATGTGAAGTCCGAGGAGCACGTGGGGATGCTGCATGGCGGGGTGCGCGCTGAGGATCTGCTCACCTTCCTTCTGACTGCCAGCCACGCTCTGCTGCAGCAGGGACTGGCTGTAGAGGGAGGGCAGGGCGGAGGCTGTGTACTGCTGCATCCCTGAGTAGGCCTGGGTCAGTGCGTCCATGGAGCTGGCAGCAGAGCCGTTGGCCATGGAGGCTCCCAAGCCACCATTCATGGCCCCCATTCCTTTAACGTCAAGACAAAGCCATGCGTTACGGACTGCAAATCAGTTTGTGGTTGGGTCGAGTTTTCCCAACAGCGTTGATTGTAAAATATCCCTCTCAGACCATCCATACGCAGCTAAATTGCAGAGCACCAACATTAAATTCAACAGTAATTGGGCCGAGCAACTGGACCAAACTAAGCCACCTAAATGTGCAGCATCGGCTTCATTTTTAAAATATAAAAGGGAACATCTGAAAGTGAACTCTTCTATATCACTTTCTAACGGATGAGGTGTGCATGTAGCAGCAGCTCATAAGGGGTTCAAAACACAGGAAGACACTTACCACTGACGCTGCTGGTGAGAGCATTGAGACTGTTGAGGCCCATCGAAGTACCAGTGAGGCCCTGCAGCGTGCCCAGAGATGCCAAGGTGTTCATGGCAGCGCCGGCACTGGAGCCTGCTGTCGACCCACCTGTTCACACGCACGACAAAACAGACATATGCTAAAACGTCTCACCATCTCCCACGTCTGGCATTTTTGTTAGAAAAGGCTATAGATGTGAGGAGGGCAGTTGAAACTGTCTGATGAGGGGAGGTCATTATCCAAACAGCCATATGCTAAACTCAGACAAATGGAGCCAATGCATATTTACACAGATTAAAGGGAAATGGGGACTCATAAAATTTTATACGTGGTGATTAACTCCCATAAAATATACGAGCAGGGAATGAGAGGCATTATGCAAATAGCTGATGAGGGAAATTTGAGGAGGAAAGGAGCAGCAGGTGAGAGGACTGTTAACATGTACGTCTCCATCGGTCGGGTTTCTCTGCTTACATTTAAGATTTTAGGGGAAAATGTAGTTTCAGATATAATCATGAGAGAAAATACTGCGAATGGGGGTTGACTTGTGCCTTATGTGTTGGATGCTGAATCTCTATGTGGTGAATCTACCTGGGCTGGCCAGAGCTCCTAAGGCTCCGCTGTTTGCGGACAGGGCGTTGGTGGAAGCTGGGCTCCCAGAACCCTGAGCTGCAGCTGCAGCCGCAGCCAATGTGGCCAAGTTCTGCAGCTGGAGAGGATTCACACCGGCTGAAAGTGGCAGACAAAGACATGTATTGATGCTCTTGTTCTTTCACCACTACCCGAGAGGAATGCGTCTTTAAAATGTAATGCTGGGTGTTTGTTTGTTGTTTTTTTTGTGGGGGGGGGTTCTGCTGCTAAGCTGAATAGTTTTTCACGCAAAATGAACATGACACTACGTTTTAGTTTCCCAGATAAATGTTATGAGCAGACCTAATTTGCCATATGTCTGCAATACCACTTTTTCCATTAAAAAAGAAAATAAAGGAAACAGAAAAAAAGACTCACCTGCCAAAACAATTTAATTGAAAATCCAAAAGAAGGGTACAGAAAGCTTAGATTAATTTGTTATCTTTAAATCAACAGAATTTCATAATCCAAGAGGGTCATGTGATATTTGCTGTCTATCTCTTTACAAGCTTAACAGAACAGCACTGATTTTAAAGAACAACAGGATTTCATTACTCAAACATGGAGTGACATGTCTTAGAGATAGTCAATTCAAAGTAATATTAATAAAGAAAACATAACTTAAATAATGCTTTCCACATCTGACACGTATAGAAACTCACCTCCTAGCCTCTGAATACTGTTGAAACTGCCTTGGTTACTGGTTGATGTGGCCTGCTGAAGTAACTGTTGACAACATGGAAAAGAAATGCTTAGTTAAAACAAAAACATAAATGAACAAATTCATTTAAACACTTTTCCTGAAACCAATACGTTTCAGTTGTTTGGCAATTGAGCGTTTTTTATGTTTTCATTCTATTGGCTGAAAGAAGCGCTCATCTGCTCATGTTAGGTCACATGCTCTTTGGCTCAGAATTACTGCAAAGGCACATGCGAGTCACGTGCCATTGTTCTTAGGCCAGAATACAAACTGAGTGGGAAGATGTTCCTTGGCTGAGCCAAGAGAATAGCTTGTAGTGAGCTCTGAATGCTGCAGAGCATTTCAAATTTTCACTTTGAACAGTAACCACACAAAGCAGGGAGGGAAAATAGAACCAGCACCTGAATACGTTAGTCAAACACAAAACGTAGCTGACAAAACTTCCTACTTTTTACTTCGCCTCTCATTTAATAGTAACTGCAAAGGTTGTTTAACTATAAACCTGAACACCTCACAACACATAAAATCAATACAGCACAAGAAAGAAATCCCCACAAATGATTAATCAACACGTTTCCATCACTTCACACCATCTATTTTTCTTAATGTCACACTAACTGGTCTAAATGTATATCTTATTCAGTTTTCATGCAAAGCAAATATACCAAACACCCTGTATAGCTCGTAGATAGCTGAATATTTTACGCATTTTAAAACCTCCTGTAATGCAGTTACTGAGGGACACTTACAGCCAGGTACTGTGGTGTGAGGGTGCCCAGCCCGGCCAGGTTTCCCCAGGTGGAGGCGCTGTTCAGCTGCTGAATCTGCTGCACCAGCTGCTGCTGCAGGCGCCTCTGCTCTTTATCTCTCTGCGTGTCCGCAAACTTCACCACCAGAGGAGAGGAGCAGCCCTGAAGCAGTTAAGGTAACAGACATTAGTCCAGTTCCAAAGGCAATGTCGAATCAACTATTTATTTAACAATGCTTTAAAGAGTTGTGGCAAAAAATTTTAAAGGGGGAGGGGGGTGACCCATCTATGCCTCAAGACATTTGTATGCCTACAGCATTCATAATAAAGCTAACACACAGGACAGCTGCCATGCATAGTTGAGCAAGGCCACATTCCAGAAGGCGTACAGGATGATGGTGCAGACAATGAATCGTTTTAGCGCTCTACAGAGCTCAACTCTGTCCACAGATAAGCACACAGCAGACGGACACAAAAAATTTAAAATGAAATACATTCAAAACAAGTATGTCAGCAGACGTCCAAAAAATAAATAAAAAAAAGGAGCTATACACGGAACCTCAAAAACAGACAGTCACAGTGTTCAGACAGACGCATGGACAAGGCATGCGGTGCAAGAGTATTTTGATAGTTTAGAGCTAGACGGGGACCAGGCTGAATAGGGAAAATGGCTTCACCGGAAGCACCTCCCATGACAGCGGAGAAATTGGAGGGGGAGGGGGATGATATGGGGAGGGGGGAGATAGGTGGTGCACCCAGTGGGCCCCACATTTAAACTGGTAGGAGCAGTGTTATGTTTGGTTGGGCTCCTAATTAGACTTGGTCTGGTGCTTCACTGGGGACCTCCTGACCTAGCTGTCAAATTACTGCTGCTCTACTTCCACAAAAAATCTACTAGCTCTAAGAGAATAGCCCCAGTTATGGAAGAAAACTAATAGGGTGGCTACTGTAGTCCAGGTTCACTTTTTTTAACAACCTATATTTGACTGAGTAGGTACATTCCGATGTGGTCCAATATATAAACAGGCAGGCAATGGCAGAAAAGAAGCTGGACTTTAATAGTTATCAGAATATGCATGGGATCAATCCGAGTATGCTGAAAGTAAGGGGTGACATTTCTGGTTGAGAGTCCTGTTAGCATTGGATTCAGCAGCAACAAAAAGGCAGTTCACTTTGCAGGAAATAATTTAAACCAATTAGCAAAGATATTTTTAATATAGCTTGTGCTCTGATGACAGGATGCGATCTGCCTGAACAGGCTCTTCATCTTTCCAACACAAGGGGGCAGTAAAAATGTATGAGGGGGGGGAAAGGGGAAATGAGAAATAAGTGCTAAGGGGTACAGTACCTCCATAGTTTGAGAGTGATGCATGGTTTTGATTGCATTCTGTGCCATTGCCCTGGTAGCAAATGTGACAAACGCACAGCCTGTAGGGGGGGAACAATAGGAGAGGGGGGAGGAGGGAGGGAGGGACAAGAAGAAACAAAACAAGACAAAAAAGGTTTGGACAACTCGTTATGAACCCCAAAAAGACATTACAGTACAGAGAATGGCAACTCCCAAGCACACAGAACCACCCTCACTGGTTAGCACACGGAGAAAAGAACACAAGAGGAGAACAGTAACACGTGTCACATGAGCACGATGATCAACGGATTAAATTGCCACCCAGAGAGGCTCGACTACGTGATGTCATGGTGAGACAGTCGATGTGATTATATACATACATAAAATGCACACGTACAGAGTGGTCTGCTAAAATAAATAAGGCCTGCATACATTTAAGACTGGTAAAGCCCATACCATCATTGTGGCTACAGTGCATACATTAACCAGAAGGAGCAGAAATTCAGCATCTTCCTAGCGTCTTCACTAGGAAGCTTTAATCATTTGCACACAAAGCCCCGAGCTGACTGCTATCTGAGGCTGTATGCAGCACCGAGCTGTGCAGGAGATGCAACGACAGGCTAATTCCAGCCTTTGTAGTGTGTGATGAAGGAGGTGGTAAAGGAGGAGCTGAGCTGCCTGCCAGCTGAGCCTACGAACACCAGCAGCTAGCAGTTGCCAAGGCGACGGGCCATTGTGTCAGACAGCTAGCGCAGTGGCCCTTCAATGCGAGATGTGGAGGCTCAGTGTCAGTGATGTGAGGACAGAATATAAGGATGGAAACGGCGCTTTTGAAGGTTAAATAAAAGAAAAGAAAAGGTGTTTCATTTAGCGGTGTCGAGGTTTAGATAAAGGAGGGAGGAGCTTTTATGAATACTTTATGGAACAGAATTATCTTCTCGGCTGTGCGGAGGGTGGCGTTTGTGAGGCTAAGAACACTGTCCTCATACTGAGAGCAGACCTACCTCTACTTTGACCATCTGGTCCGCGGAGGATTCGACACTCTTCGATCTGTCCAAAAGACGAGAACATCATTCTGACCTCGTTCTCGCCGTATTTCTTTGAAACCATTCCAATAAAGAGTTTTCTGTCTTCTACGGCTGCAGATGGATGAAAAGGGAAGAATTATTCCAGATACAGTCTGCATCCTCCACCTCCGACGAACATGCATAATTAATATATTGTGCAATACATTGCAAATCACTGTACAGAACCAATACCTGGTGCAACAGCCCATATTCACATTGTGCTCAAAGCCAGTAATGCTCAGTCTTAGAAGAGCATCAACCGTTTAAATTCTACTGCTAACTCCTTTGCAATTCAATGCCTTTTCCAATTTTGTATATCTGTTCATAAATAGCCTCCAACTATATATGTATATCTTGAACAAAGAGTGCTCGTTTTATGTATGATACCTTGTTTTTTTTCCCCTTTTTCTACTTAATTCGTACCAAATGGCTTCTCACTCATCTTTCAGACCTGTGTTTGTTTGACCTAAAGTGATTTGGTTTGGTCATTGTCTGCTCCCACTAGCTTCATGTAAAATGTCAGCACCTTCCAGGTCTGGACTAGTTTTCTCCTCACTAATTCTTCATTTGTGATCAATTAGTTGTTTTATGTAAGCCTGGCCAGGCACGTCACTAAAATATGAATATTGTGACTAAGAACGGGTCAGTTTCCAGCCACAAGATTTAACATTCAAGATTTTAGAAACAATTTGACAACATATCACTGTAGTCAGGATGTATGCCTGGTCTTGTGAAAGACAGGAGGTAATGGAATACATCACTTTACGTAAACTAAAAAAGCAACACTTTCCCCACTGTCTAAGGAGGTAACCATTTAAAATGGGATTTCACATATACAGGAGCACAACCCATCGATCTTGCCTAATTAAAAGGCAACATTAGCTTGAAATTAACGTTTGCAACCAGCTATGAGATTTAGCACGTGAAACATTAGTGAATTAAATAACTGAGGCAGATAACACATAGAACTTGCCATCCTTATTAAGTTACCATCCCAACATTACTTTAGAGGTTATTAGTAAAGCAGGAGTCATTTGGTATCCAAATAAACTATAAATAATTTATTTCTTCTTAAGAAAATTTCTCAAATAAAGATAAAATCAGATTTATTAGTTTTTTAATCTGCTTATATACATTTTCAAACAAAAACATGAACACCGCATTTTGGTATCTTTGCTGAACGTGTCTGTTGTGATGAGTAAAGTCAGAGTATCTGAGGTCCAACTGTGATTGTGGCAGATTTATTCAATAGAATCCATTTGAGGCCTCAGTTTTTTTTTTTTTTTTATGCATCCTTCGTCTTGTAAAATCTAGTTAAAATGTTTTGTTTAGTTTAACAGAATGTTGGCTAGTTACTCAATAACTGAAATACAGATACCTACCACTAGTTTTCTCACTGTCAGCAGGTTTCATCTGGATAGGATGATGCATCTGCAAAAAAAAGAAGAAAAAAGGGTAGGAAAATGGTTAAAACAATCCAGTTTTGGAGGAACTTGGTTTTGTTGTCACTCATAAGAAAGGGTGTCATATCTTCACACATGTACATGCAAGAGCATCATCCCTCACCACTCCCTGTTTCAAGAGGGAAGTGTCAGAAGATCAAATCTCCTGTATGCTTTTCACTTGCGGTGGTGTGGACTTGAGATAGAAGTAATCAGCTCTTTGAGTCAACATCATTCCTTCATAACGAGCTATTTATGAGCTGCTTTGGGAGTATAATACATTCTAAAGATCCTAAAGATAATTACGTCTTCACACTATAGGGCCTCACATGCAAAGACTAAATATGAGGAAAATTTAAGCTGTGAGGAAAATCCAGTGGCAGCCAGAACAACAGCTCTGAACACAGTGTTCCTTCCAAAGTGGAGGAAAAGCAACTGCTGGTGGATCGGTCGTTTCGTTGCTTTTAATGAACACTTTAGTCCAAAGAGACAAAACCGCACACTAAGGCATCCAAACTACATTTCATGTCATATGGTATGTAGGAGAGGAAAAATCTAGGCAGGAGCTGCCTGAGCATGTTGTTATGAAAAAGTGGTCGGTTTGCTTTTGACAAGCACTAAAGAGAAATGGACAGATGGCTTGCTCAGTATGGGGACTGGCTTGCGTCAACGACTGAGGAGAGAGGCACAGGAGGGAGAGAAAACAGAAATCGGAAAGCAAGCTTTTCCACTGTCACACAGACCAAACTCTGTCACCTGCAGTTAATGCCAGTAACAGTAGGACCAAGGATTGGGATTTGTTGGACCACACTTTATCTGAAATGTCTGGCTGATTGATAGTCTTCCAGTGAAAAGAGCCAGCACTGTACACTCGGTCTGCAACACTCATCCATCAACACAACTCAATATTTACCTGTAACCCCACTGACAGCTGCTTCTTTTACAGCAGAGTGGGCTCCTGTTTTAATCGACAGCTCAAGCAGTTAAGTATTGATTTATTTGATTGAAAGAGTAAATCAAAACGATTTACAGACATGACGGGCTTGTAGAGCTTTAACAAGTCTGTGCACCTATTCTGGATGAGTGGGCTTTCATCTCACTAGACAAATTAGGTGATGAATTATGGGAACGGAGTGAATCTGATCAACCTTTACCGTTGACGTTTGCCTTCTCATATACTTCCTCCATTAGAAAGAAAAATGGGGATGTGCATCAATGATTCATGACAATGAGCTTCAAGTCCCACTTCACGTTGATCAGGTTTTTCCCCCCCTTCACTGAAGGTTTCACCACACAGCCAAGCCCGTTTGCCTTGATACTTTGCTAAACTCAGTGCAGTCTTCAGTGTGGTGTTAGTGATAGCGAGATATTCGTTAAGCCACACAGACATTCAGTGAACCAAGTGCTCATTATCGGCGTGTATACAGATCACAGGCTGCACCGGGGATGTAGGGGGGCTCAAGTAGCTCAAAGCTGCCCATGCTGTGCTTACTCACCCCACTTAAGGTCTTTATGTTGTGCAGGGCATTCTGGGCCTCCAGTGCAGCTTTTCTTGTATAAAAAGTTACAAAACAGCATCCTGTTGAGTGGGGGGGGAACAAGACAATGGGAGGGGAGGAGACAAGAACAACATTAAAAACACAGTCCAAAATAAGATGAGATGCAACTACAGTCTTTACATGCGTTTGAAAATGAATAGGATATTCTTAGCACCAACAGGAAAGTGGTGCACACAGCAGACACACAAGAATAATGAGTTGGATGAAGCAACGACTCCACCACAAAGAGACCACGAGGCGAGATCGCGGTCTGAAGTCAGTGATGGGAAGCCGGCCCAGGCAGGCTGGGTCACGGAAAACACACATCTGAAGAAGCACTGTCACATTACATAAGAATCTAATCCCAAATAAGCATACAACACCACAGAGAGAAAAGGGTGACAAAAATTAGATATGTGGGGGAGGGTAAAAAAATTATAAAAAGGGTTGGGGGGGAAAAAAAAAAAAAAAAAGCTCTCATCCTTCCGTCCCAACAGACCGCCAGTGGCGTTCCAGCCTGTCAGTTTCACTGGGCTGGGGAAGTGGAGCACTGCAGCGTCTCTGACCTACATAGTGTGTATTATTCTGTTACTGGAGCTCCCAGGCCGCAGGGAGGGCTGTTGAACTCTAATATGCATCAAGCTGCACTCTTTTCTTCCACAACCAGCTGAGTGCTCTCTTTCTCTGCTGCTCAGCCCAGACTCTTGATTAACCAGGGCTAAAAAAAAAAAAAACATTCAGAGAGGCATGATAGTCATAAGATTTTTTTTTTTCCATGACCTGCAGTAGATGTGACCTAAAAACCATTGAAAATCTGATCGACGCTCAAAGAATGGATGTGGGATTACATAAATTTAAAAAAGGGAACAACTCGAGCACAAACGAGACTGATCACAAAAGGCTGACAGGAAAGAAATGTCCATGAAATAAACAAACCGTGTACTATCTGGCCATACTACTTTGTAAAGCTGACATATTTCCCACTTTAAGTCGGCCTACAGGGAGCGGGGGGGAAACCGTGAAATTAATGGGTGCAGGGGTGTCGCCAAAACAAATTCTACTCACACTTGCAGGGTGAGTCAAAGACTGCAGTGATCAGTCCCGATTATCTATTGGAATACATTAACATAGCATTAACATGTCAATAGGCCAACCCAGCTGACACTCCACACAGGACAGGGGAGGAGCTCTGCTTCAAATAAATAAATAAATAAACAAATGAAAGGGGGCCTTGAACTGTTTAGCCTCTCAAATGAACTGCAAAGTGCTGAGTGTAAAAGCACAGACAGAATAATAAGAACCAAGCCTTTTTTTTCCTGGTATTAATAGACTAAAAATAATTTGGTGGTTCGACTGTACGACCACTTCACAGGACTCGTTTTGCTTGGCTGATGAAACACAGCCCTCCAATCAACATGTCAGTGTTAGAGACATTTTTCAAAATATCTGAAAACCCTTGAAATTAGATCTCTTGTGAGTGTAAAGATACAACAAAGATGGTGCATGTCAAGTACATGTATGATCAGCAGCTGATCCTAGCTTGGATAGCAGAAAAGACAATGGAGGACAAGGTGGGAAAAGCTAGAAGTGTTAACCTCATAAGTTTCAACAGCTGTGTTGGTCTTTTCTGCTCATAACAGTCAAAATCTTGATATAAATTCTGGGATTAAATTCTCAGATTAAGCAGCCATGTCTCTATTGATGATTTTACGGACCGCCAGCTGATAAAAGCAGAGAGGTGGCAAGAATCCTGTATTCAGGTCTCCAAGCAATTATTGTCTAGACACACCAAAGTGCACACAGGCCCCTAATACAGCCATCCGACAACTGAAGATCTGTATTTTTGGTTTGAAAGTCGTCAGCTTTATAGTATCTTTCACCGTCTCCGTCAGGGTGGGGGCTTATTCTGACTGGCTGGTCAGTGAAGCAAACGAGCACTCCAGGGGTGGGGTTCATACCGCAAAGCTAACTAATGACTTTACATCACATTCAATCATCTCTCGGCTGCCATCTCCTTTTTTTGCCAAAGCAAGCAACACCTTCACAATGACACAGACATCTGAAGTGCAAAAACTGATGACCAACTGATTTTCATGACTCAAGAGAGACCAGCTCAGCACAAAAATAAAGTTTAATGTAAAGGCAGACCCAACATCCAGCAGGGTCCCGAGGAGCGCTGCCTTTAGCTGTACTGACTCATCCACCCAGAGGGAGAATAAACATTTTGGTAGGGAAGGGAGCTTAAACGGGGGAAGCAGCCGTTGCGTTCTACATCTGTAGTTAGCTACGGGAGAGCGAGCCGTTCTAATGGCACTTTGCAGTTAGAGGAGATGTTGAATGGAGGCCCGCTGTCTGCAGTCTGAGATGAATCGCTCAGCTCGAGCACCACAGCCAAGGTAAGTGCACCGAGTGAGGTTTTAATGGGAAACTGCAAGTGAGAAACAATTCCTTTGAAGAGGGCTTCTCTTTACATGGCACTGCAAAAGGAAAAATTATTACATTCTTATACGTGGCAACAAATAAGGTTAGTTAGTCATGAAACATAGGACTATTTAACCATCTCTTCTCAAGAACTGCAAAGCATGCATCAACAAGTTACACTGAACATTTCCTCAGGGGATTCTTATGAAATGCATTTTGTTGAGGCTGTTGCCACATGTTTTTTTTCTTTTCAAAAATAATAAAATGGTGCGACTGAATCATGGACGGCCCCATAATTCAAATTATATTGTTAATAATATCACTGAGCACGATTATTAGTGCAAATCTATTACTCTATGCAGCGTGAATAAGGTTAACTGCCCCAAATGGAGCAACTTAAAACATGACCTGAATGTAGGACATATTTCTAGTTTTCTGTGATAATGGAATGATTGGGTTCAGCTATGGCTGACATTATTCTAAAGCCAATGCAACTGCACACAGCTTACAGAAAATAAATCTATTAAGTTGTAAAACACCTGACGGTCAAGCCTTTGTGCACAAATCAATATTAACATCTTCTCCACTTTGAGCTGACAGCTATGGTAGAAAACAGGAAATGTAATTTTCTGCAACAATGTTCAGTGGCCATACATGTAGAACCTGCAAGTGATCGAAGCAACAAGAAACAACATTCCCCCAATCATCAGCTGTCCTCAGCTTCTGGCTAGGGGCAGTGGACAAAAAGCTACAGACTTTAACTGGAACTACTTAAATGCCCCTCATGAGGAAATGGTGGGACACCCTACAGCCCATACAAACCAAGGCCCTGGTATTACAAACAGTGCATTTCTTGTTAATCACTCAGACAAAATTAACTGACAAAGTATGTTCCACGGCCCAAGAGGCTTTAGAACATGTTTAGCATTAATGAGGCGAAGAAATCATGCCAGAAATGATTCTGCACAAGAACTGTACCTTTGCTTTGAGGAGGATTCTGGGTGCGATCACGGAGGATGTTTATCTGGTAAACGGCCCCGAAGGGCTCAAAAAGCTCTTTTAGTTCCGTTTCTGACCAGGAGCGAGGAATCTGTCCCACGAACATCTTGATGGCATCCGGGTCTGGCTGATCCAAGTGCTCCAGTGACCCGTTCATCTTGCTGCCGTTGCCGTTGCTAGGAGACAGAAAGGCACATTTTGATCAAATTTGTCTTTTTTAATCATTTCCTTGTTAGGAGTAACAGAGTGAAACATCTGAAGAAAATGTCCCAGCCCTAAATTCTAAATACTGAGACTTTTGTAACCACAAGATTGGTTTCATGTGAAACCTTCTATTAGGAACCACAAAAACTTATGTACTGAAAATGAGTATGTAAAGTTTTAGAATTACTTTCTCTTAGTGGATATGTGGGCATTTAATCGATATGCAATTCCTCTCACGTTTGTGCAAGAGAATCTACACTCAGCCAGCTAATGATAGAATCTAATGCAAGCTTCAAAGCTGCAGGGAAAGCTTTGGCAGAGAGGAGTTAGTCATTTCATCTATTTTAGATAAGAACGTCACATCGGCAGTCGTTTAAACTAATTTAGAGGCTTTTGTTTGTTTGCGGGGGGAGGGGGTTAAATAAAAATAACTATCCTGTCATGCAAATAATGACAAACTTAACATACATATCTACCACGACACCGTGGTTAAAACAAAGGTAGAAACATTTACAAGTATAATAATGTACTAATGTACTAATTAAATATACGTATACAGTAATGAAATGATTATATTTTCGATATCTGACACTAGGGCTGTTGCAGTGAGGCAAAATAGGCCGTGTCCACTAGGTTACAGCACAGATAGACGGGTTAGGGTCTCCTGATGGGTGGTGCCCTCTATCCTGATGTGTGATAGATAGCCAGAGGCCAGAACGGGGGCCTTCAGAAGGACTGACAACCAATGTCCACCACTGCCGGGGCCTCTTTCCATTTTCTCTTTCAACTCTGCTGTGTTTGCCATCTTAAGACAGGCTCCCCTCTGTCGGACCAGCTCCTGGGTTTCAGTGGATAGGAGCTCCAGATTCTGAGCCTCCCATCAAACCCTATCTCACACAATGCAACCGTTTCACCCCAACTGGTCGCTGCGTGCCAGTGGGAACGCATCTCGCCTTTGCCTGTGGAAGCACTGGGACTCAATGAGTCAGAGGCCCTCAGTGTTCAAATACAACATTAACGTTCAATGACGAGGAGTCTTCACCATAAAGATCCATTACAGATTTTTACAGAGAAAATATGTCTTCACATTTAAAATTTTTTTTGCTGCTTACTAAAATAATTTTTGGCAATGTTCTGCGCGGGCGGGTCAGACTAAGGATGGCAATGAATGAAACACTGCACTGTTCAATTTCCTTTGGGAAAGCCTTTGAGACAGAATCAATATCCACCAATGTACCTACCTCAGAGTAATACACCCAGGTCTCACTCACTCACACACACACAACCCAAACAAATGCTAAAGCAGCTAGTCAGGTGTTCATGGGAAGAAAAATCAAATCAACAAGAAGCATTACTTTGAAGATACAGTCATTCTACAAAAACAGACCTGTAATCAAGCACTGAGAACAAATCAATATACAAAACAATATTCAATATTATATATATATATATATATATATATATATATATATATATATATAATATAATATCAATATTCAACAGACCTTTGGACACGAGCCATCCATCTCTTACAAATTGAGCCCAGCCGTTCTGCAGAAACACCAAACTCCTTGAAGGACCTAAATGACATGCTAACCAGTCGAAATTCAGTCCAGGTCGTCTGAAATCCTGTTCCCCACTTCAAAGTGTATTCGCTTCTCCGAGAGGCTATCAGTGCATTTGAATGATAACAAACCAAGAGACGATTCTTGTAAAAAGGGCAGGTGCCCCCTCCCACCAGCATGAAGTTGCTACACAGAAGCAGCACTGCAGAGTTCTAAAACTCTGCGATTCACTGGTTAGCAAGCAGAGATTTTGCGTCGCATCTTCTCAGGCACTTTGGCGATGGTACAGAGAGTAACCTACGGCTTCTTCCCCACAGCAGGGGAACAATCACATATTGTTCCCCCATGCTGGAGAACACTATTCACCGTCCCTCTGCAGCACAATGGGCCAAGTCAGAGGGACGCTTTGCAACACATCGAGGGCTTCATCTGCTCAGGCCACAGCCCTGGTGTGACACCATCCAATTTTGCCAATTCCACTTTGACGCCACTTTCCTGTGGTCCTTTTGAAAGAATCTCACAGCCCAGAAAGTAATTTTCTCAGTCAGAATGTTTCAAGAGTTGGGGAACAAAACAATACGGCCATTCACCAGTCTGCACAACCCAATGTATATAACAGCAAGTAATTAAAATGATTTAAATTGTCCATCTAAATTTCATTTTTTGTTTGTTTTCAAAAGACTTGAATAAAGGTTTAATATGAAAATATTGTGTTTATCTAATCCCCCTGTGGTAAATGTTTGACACAATTACAGAAGCACTGACAGTTTATTACATCTACTTGTATTTACTGTAAATACAAAAACATCCAATACCACCATCTCACATAACTACCGTCCTGCCACAGATTAGAAACATCACCACAACCAGAATATGAACTCACTGGCTTTACACTGGGAAGTCCAAGGTTAGAAATACTTCGAGCTAGTCGAAACAAACTACACAAACTCACAACCGTTTTCACAACCATCTGCAGACAAAAGAACTTTGCGGGTAGTCTTTATGGATCTGCAGCAAAGGGAGCGCATTTAAATGGGTATTCAGAGCAAAGTCAAATGACTGAACACTTACTGACTGTGGCATTGCACAAGGGGATTGTGAAATAGTTGGTTCCAACTCTCAGATGAAGAGAGACATCATGGATCAATTTTATCGGTTCACATGGTGGCTGGCGGCCCGCGCTCAGTCCTGCTGTGGGGTCTGACTCCCACTCGTCAGTCGAAAATAATCAACTCAGAAATATGTGCTTAGCAGAATTTCTGGTGCACCACAGCCTGTAGGATGCAGTGCAAAACAATTCCATCCTTTTGTATTAGCTTACGGGGTTGTCCCTGGGGGTGAAAATTACATAGGACACAAGTCAAATTCTGTTAGTAACTGTGTCGATGTAAAGACACCGGCAAAGAGAAAGCCAGACAAATGCAGCTGTGTGTCAATATATACCCATTTAACATTCAGACATGTATTTTAACTTGTATATGCATCAAATGATACCTGAGCAGAAGAGCTCATCGATGTGAGGAGGCCAGCAAGCAAGTTTTTGCTTTTTGAAGTCTGTTGTCTTCATTCATTAAAAATTCAAAGCATAAGCATTTCATCATACAAATAATTTAAACAGAAAAGCATTGTGGTTGCCCATTCCAACAATGTTAAAAAAACACAAACTTGTGTTTAACGTAAAAGTTTTTAAATAGGCAGTAAATGATAGAAAAATCACTGGATATGGTAATGTACTTCGGAATGGATTAAACTATAATTGAGTTGTCACTTGATGGTCATTTTCATCAATCATTTCAGTCACACTATCATTGAGCTAGCCATAGGTAATTTCACAAAATAAAAAAGTTCTACTAATTGACTGTTAAAAAATCTACTAGAATAATCTACCAAGATCATTACAATTTCTAGTAGAGTTTTTAATCTCTGCCTTATATTATTCTGCCCTGCACTGAAATACATACAGAATGAAAGGGGATAAAGAAACTGACTCATCAACACTATGATTCTGGGAGTCTAGCAAAGCTCTGGTTTGTAGGCCAGCTGCCAGACGACGCAGATCAAGTATTTTTCTGGGTTTCCATAAACGGCTCTGCGATATGGCAGTTCACTGCTCCAAGACACCCAGCAGCAGCTGACAAGTCATCCAAAGCGGGAGCCCACGACAGTAGCAGGCACACTGCTGCGCCACCCATAAAAAACTGTGATTTATTTGGAGCATGTGCATGTCCTGTTGGAGCGCACTGACCGCGCAAGTATGCCCGGGACACCTTTGCTGTGCCCATAATAGAAATACGGCCAATTTGCTTGGATATGCGCAGGCATATTCAAAGTTGTCCCAAAGTGTTTTGGGACATTACTCGTGCCCACATCACCCAGGGTCACATAAAAAAATAAATAAATAAATGTCGATCACACCACGGCTGAAGAAGTGATACCACCACTATCAAGGCAACATGTGACAAGTTTACATCAATTAAAAATTATAAAAGGTGTTTTCTTTGGACAGAAACTTCCTCCTTTGCCTTTTTGTAGCAATCATCCCAAGTGAAGCAAAGTCAACTTGTTCTACTAATTGTCTCTCTCTCTCAAAAAACATCTTCCTTTCAGGAAACCAATGACAGCCTAAGATGATTCAATGAGACACAGAGTGTCTTTAATACCCTGCTAACATCTCTGACGGTTGTCAGGTAGAATGAAAGGTCCTTTCTTGCGCTGCATCTATTTTCTCTGCTTTGACAAGAAGACACAGAATATTCTCGGAAGCACTGAATAAGGTTTCAAAGGCTTGAAATAAAAATACCCTCCTGATCTTCCTGACCGACTTTATGTAGTCACTTAGAAACTGGCTACAGGAAGTAGTGGCTGGATTCACAGAACAGCCGTTAAAGTTTTGATTAGAAACCGCTTACATTGGCGTTTCGCTGATCAAATGACAACTAGGTGTTATGTCCCACGATCAAGGCAGAGAAAAGTGATGTGTTAATTTATCGCCGTGCCTCCATTGTGGTTCTGGGGAGAAATTGAGACCTCGCCCTACTAGTATTAACACCAATTCAGCTCATAGACGCCTAATTTCATTGCCACATTCCCCCTGATGAAGACAGACGTGTTCAATCAGCCTCTCAATGGGCTGCGTGTTAACAGACGGCCATCATCTGATGGCGAGCCCCGCACCATTAGCTACATAATCACACCGAGCGTCCCTGGTGGTTATGGATGATGTTCCTGAAAAAAAGCTCATGAACTAACAGTCAAAGATCCGACTAAATATGAGAATAAAATCTTCAGGTACAGTTATGCAGCTGTAATGTTGCCAGGTGAAGGCAGCAACTGTTCTAGATTACTTTGAACGTCCTTTCTCTCTTCCAACGGATCAAGCCATCCGTCACCTCGAGCTGAGAAATGTGGGGCATCAATAGAAAACCTCCCCAACCATATCTTTTGCTTTCACTTCAACGTTTCAAATCCTGTACATTTCCTTGTAGCTGCACTTAATTGCTCTCTCATTCACCATTCCCCAAACCGTGGATAATTGTTTTGAATGGTCCGTGTTTTTGTGAGATTGATAGAAATACTTAATGACATCCATTCTTCTTGAGTTTTAGGACTCAATAGACAAATGTGGTCACCAATAAAATGACACCATACGAACAACACGCTGTATTTTAAGAATGACTCCACACAGATGTTTCTACTGTGTTAACATTTTCAGCCAATCAGCTATGGCGAAACATGGCATCTGTCCACTCAAGAAGCTTGTTCCTGACAGAATTTTGTGTAGACATCGGACACCAACCCCTCAAACAGACCAACATTATAAACTGCTATGGGTTACTTATTCAAAAACCCCGTCAGCCTGTAGTAAAATCTGCTTCAGGAACACCAAGTTAGCATCAACTTTAATAGTTTAAAAGCCAAACATTGATTGTTATATGGACTTGGGCGCATCTGCAATTGTGAAACCATCCCCCTCAGTATCTTTTGTTTGCAGAGCTTACAGAGGAATTTGCTTAACCTTCGATCAAAACAACCCGCAATGGAGACAGATGACATATTTGTGAGCGTTGCAAGGCTGTGCATATGGCTTCAGGGCAGTCGATCTTGGAATTACAGTCTCACAAAACAAGCAAAAGCTGAGAAACAGGTGACAGCAGAGATGATAGGCCCACCGCTCATGGTCTTAAACATCTGGCTGCATGGCACTAAACCAAAGCACTCGCAGCCAAGAAAGGGACAGAAAAGCTAGGCCAAGCAGCCTCCCACTGCCAAGATCCTTCACTTCACACTGATCAACAGTTCACCAGCCATAACAAAAGGATCACCGTGATTGCTTAGCCTACTGACATAGCACTATGGCCCTGTTGGCTGCCAAAGGATCAAATTTAAGCCCCGATAGTCACTCTTACTGTCAACAACCACACAGATAAATCAATAAAATACAACTTTGTCAAGATCTAATCACCACTACCAGTCATACAAATAAAATAATCCTTCAAATAAAAAAATTCACACAAGATAAATTTGCAGAGGGCTTGAAAAAAAAGTACACCATGTTCTTATTACTTTGTCTTGTCAAGAAGCAAAAAGAAAAGTCACTGTTGATGGCTCAGTCCTGTGGCCTGACATAATAGATACAATGAGAAATGTTAAGTCCAAGCAGACAAGATTCCCATCGTAGTCCCACTTATTTCAAAGTTATTTTTAGTAAGACTTTGTATAGATTGAATCAGTCTAATTTATAGAAAGCTGTTGCAAAATGTTGTTCCTGGCTGTTTATAGTATTTTACTAAACTTCTGATTTCGTATAAACAGAAAGAGGCCAGTTTATCCATTACACAAAAACAAAAAACCCTTTCATACTGGATTCAATTCATAAACAAATATAACCATTTTGAATCTCCTTCTATACGCTGCTCACGTCTTTATCTAAAATATGCAAATCAAGCACATTGTAACTACATCATTTGATAGGGGTGGGGGAAAATCACTATACAAATACTGCCCATTTGCATGTGTGAAGATGCAGATGTGAAAGATTCTGAAACTATTCAAAAAGATTTTCCAAATGGTAATCGATCAGATAAGAGTGATGTGGGGAGGACCTTGGGAAATAAAGCATCTACACTTATGACAGAGCAAAAACTTCATCCTGCAGATGGAAGCTATTTTTTTTTTTAAATAAAACAAACATGACATAAAGAAGAGAGATGTAAAGGTTTATACTGGATAATAATAACCTAAGCTTTAATTCTTACAACCACGGATTGTTGCACAATGCAACTAGTGTAGAAGGCCAAACGATTTAATCGATAATCATCTTATACTTCTGAAGTGTAACTTATGCCTTATTAGTCTCAGTCTTATCTGACCAATCAGTTGCATTTTCTTTGTGGCAAAAAAGTCCCCGTCTCAGTCGTGGTGTTCTGCTTTAACTATGAGATTACAACATTTTTAAAAAAAAAAGGTATATGGCGCTTTTGGCCAAAGCAAAGCTTAGTCTTAAAAACTGCAAGCATTCAGGATTTCAGACAATCTCGTTAAAGCGAGCTGTGACTTTCGAAATGTTTCTGCCAAATAGGATTAGCTGGTGTAACGTGGAAGAAACTGGAGAGTTTTAGAGCGTCTCCCCCCCTCTCTACTTGTTTACATGTCCTGTCACAAGATTGCCATTAATGGCTCAATAATGGAGCAAAGCACGTGTTTTCGGCCGTTGAGAGCAGGCGGGCGCTCCAGTTCCAACATGGACGGGGACGGCGGTGCCTGTGGAGCGCGGCTAGCTGCGTTAGCAGGCGGGGTGAGCGGCCACAGCACCTCTCCTCCCCACAGCCACGGCCGGCCGACCTCGCAGGGCATATGCAAATAAAAAAAAAAAACGATTGAAACTCAGCAGCACCGGGCCCTTCCCTGCCTGCGTTCAAACTCTCGCCGGTGAACTTTGCCGTCTTCCTGGACGGGGGTGCCTCCCTGGGAAACCGACATTTAACACCTACCGTTTCGGTCGACCACACTTTCAGCGCCAACTTCTTCACTTTTTGGCTACACGGAACGACGACCGGGACGCGGAGTTTGCGCTCGCACGACGACGGTGACACGAGTAGGAGAGGGAAACGAGTGCGAACAAGCCGGTCAAGATTGTTTTTTTCCGAACTGATACCGAAACGTGTGATCTCCGGAAGCACATGTCACTTGCCTGTAACAGCGCCCCGCGTAGCGTCGAATAGCGTCGCTAGCTAACTGCGTTTACTTTTCGTGTGGTCCACGTTAAACCACACGCCGTGTTTCCGTTGCCAGTTGCGGGTCACGCCGCTGGTTTAGTTTAGATAACACGCGTTGAAGTTGCACCCTTTTGAAAATAAAAGTTTGCCGGACCGCTTGAACTCCAGGTGAGCGAGCAGTCACTGTTCTAATTTAGCCACATTAGCATCCCGGTAAGCTAACGTTAGCCAACTCCCAACTCGCCCCTAACTGTGTTTGTTTGCCCCAAACACTCACACACGTCCCCGTGCCCGGGTAGCCGGGCCGGAAACAGCCCCAGAAACCGACAGCTCGTCCACTTACATTGAGTCGCTCGAAGTCATTAACCGACTCTCGGCAAGAGGGAGGAAATCCAGGTTGTACGTCGAAGTCATGCTCAAAACAACGTCGAACAATGAGAAAGCGACGCCCGCACAGTGCGAGAAGCTCAACTCCTGCGAGACGACGAGAAGACGAAGCGGAGCAGGTGCAGGGAGGGGGCGTCTTCCTCTTCAGAGCTGCATGAGAGAGAGGGCACCAGTGCTTGCCGCGCTCCTTCCTCCTTATTTCTCCCTCGTCTCCGAGTGAAATAAACCCTGGCAAACGGTTGTGTAGCCTGCTTACCGAGCTGCAGTAAACCAGAGGCGTGGCCTCCCCAGCACAAGTATTAAACCATGCTACCCCCCCCCCCCCCCCCCCCCCCATATTAAAATGACTACGTCTCCCTTTAGGGCAAGCGGGACTCTGTGGAGAGTTTATTAACCTAATTGTACCATAACGTGCTGTAATGTCGCCAATGAACTCTCTTGATAATATATATATACTCTGAAACCTTGAAGGGAAAATAGCCTATTTGATCATCCGTGGGGGAATCAGGATGTAGGCACAATGTGTTAGCTGTTCGTGCTAAGAGCCTAAGTCCATTTTAGCCTAGTTCTACGAACTTAAAGTTGAAAGATAAATATCTACACAAATATTTTTCACGTATTTGGCTTTTCCTTTTGGCTTTTCTTTCCCCTCCTTTCTTTTCTATAAATTGAGGCATAGAACAATCTGAATATTTATACTGAGAAAAATATGTTTGCTGTTTGATGGACTAGGGATTTAGTAACACTACCCACACTGGCCACTTCCTGCTTTTCTTTAAAGTATATATATTTTGCATGAATATATATATAAAGCTGTCAGAGGCCCAAGAGCTTGGAACCCCACATGTTCGATGAAACGTTATTCTTTGTATGAGATCTCTACTTGGAAATATAACAATGTTGAATGTGGTGGAGGAGGAATAACGACCTTTAACCACCATCATTCTCAAACTATGGTGAGGAAAAAGCAAGTAGAAAAAAGTACATATTCTGTACATTGCGCAGTGCATGAGTAACACTTATTTTCATCTACTGACTAGGAATCTGTGGGGGCGAGGAAGAGATCTCATGATACTAATTAGAGAGACTAAAAGCGTTTAAAAATAGTATAAATTGTCTATCAGGCTTAGTTGCTTCCATCCCAAGACCCTAAATTAGGCACCTGGCTCTTGTGGTGAGATTATATAAATGAACAAGGATAATTCTACATTGTTTATTATCTTCCATTGCAGAAGTGGAATTTAGAGTTTCTTTCTTTCTTTTTGCTTTCCTCCTGGGTCACAGGTCATATTCCCCTTTGTGCTGGGCTGTTGTTTCTCTGGGGGAGGGGGAGAGCCTGTCTTTCTTTGTTGTGCTGGACTTGCTGGGCGAGGCCTCCTCCCATGGCAGGGGGTGGAGTGGAGTGGGGTTGGGGGTCCGTTGTCAAGTACATTATTCCATAGCTGAGACACATGAGGGAGCTAGCCCAATTATCAAATCATTCATTATTGCTCAAGCAGCTGCACAGTCCTAAAATATTATTAATCACCAGTGTTCAGAAGCGTCCCATTTGTGAAATCCGACTTAATCCTTGTATCCATAGCAATTTCAAGGCAACCTGGCACCACCACCTTCTATGCCTTATTAAACAGCCCCTGAAAGAGGTTTGTTTGCATAATGAGATAATGCTAACTATTTTTCCATACATACATACAAAGCAGGCTCACCATCCAGCATTAAAATGGGGGGGGGGGGGCACTATAAATGGTGGTATAACCCTCTCCAAGGGATCAAGTTTTATTAAGACGGAGGTTAAATACAATAACGTCATCCCATCTGAAGTGTCCACATATTTTCTTTGACTCAATTAGATCCGGGGGTTGCGGGGGCACCTTCGTTAATAGATTTGCCAGCAACAGAGCAGAAATGTTCGAGGCAGCAGCTTCACTGAATGCAGCACAGCTAAATATAAAATCATACAACATGTTCTATTTGGCACGCTGCTGCTTTTCTAAGAGATGTTTGATGGAATGGATTCTGCAAGATGCATACGTGCTGGCACCTTCGAATATTTAATTCCTAATCTCAGATTATTAGTACTGTAATCCCTTTTTAATCCTCTACATGTACCATGCTTTTGTTGTTTACATCAAACACTTCCCCTCCTCATGCAGTGGAGCTGGAGTCCCACTCCCCCATCATCATCCCACTGCATTTCTATTTGTGCTCTTTTGTAACAAACTGCACAGACTAAAAATAGGTCAACACATCTACTTAAAAGCATACTTTTTTCCTCCGCTCTCGCTTTCATGAACTCGTTTGTCGAATGGCGACCGGCTGAAGGGCTCTCAAAATGGAGCTGCAAACTTCATCTCTTCTGCTTTAGAGAGGAAATCTACTGAAACAAGATATTCTGAGAAGACACATCTGCGCCTTATCAGGCTATGTGCTCCACCAATGCAAATGTCATCATGTATGTAAATGTTGCTTCCCGAGCTTTCAAAGATATTTGATGTCTTGAGTAGTTTTTGACTGACTCGGTGTACTAAGATCTTTGTTTGTGATGTATTCAGTCCTGCAGATTTGTCTTTTACGATGGATTTTATCACTTGAAAACAAGCATCTGCATCGCTGACACCTTGATTTTGCTTTATCTATATCTGCTGGGGGCATCTGAGCCCCTTAGGAACTTCGAATTAAGCAGGAGGTCAATTTAATGTGAATGTGAATGCTTTTAGCTTTCTACAATGGTTCATTTTTGAAATAATGAAATCATTTTATCCACATTTTTTTTTGCCATGCAGGGAAGTTGAGATGAAATAAAAAGCGAAAATCATCAAATCTTGACACAAGGCCACATTCAGAGAGGGAGACAGTCCTACCCAGCACAGCATTAGACAGCTCAACTGGAAATCATTCATCCTATGACAATATTAACCCAGACAAAGAGGCAGTCCGAATATGGGCTGCTCCACAAAAGCTAGCCCAAATTTGAATGAGGGGCCAGCCCTAACGTACCTCATAGGCAGGTCCTCATTCCTGACAGAGATCCCAGCCGCAGAGGGGGGACAGCGCATGCTGTTGGCATACAGACTCTGCACCAGGGCCAGCTCAGAAGAGTGTTCCAACATCGGGGCAGTGGAAAAATCCAACCGGTGCAAAAGACACTTTCTTCTCTTTCCCTCTTTCCCTGTGTGTGATTCTCTGCTTCTCTCTGTCTCCCGCCCACCTTTTTCTCCCCGGTTTAGTGCAGCAGAGTGGCGCCCACCCCCTTCGCTGATTGTGGTGGCTGAAGTAATCCTCTCTGACAGCTCATCGTGTGCTAATGCATTGTGCCGCCTGCGGCAGCCCAGTTTTCAGGCTGTATGGCCGAATCCACAGCAGCACTCTTGTACTAATTGAAACCCATGTTTGGACAACTTTAGAATATCGACCACGAGTGATTTATTCCCACTGTCAGCTGAGGGGAAACGAGAGGACACAGAAGGTTCTGTGACTGGATGAACATCCACTTAAATCAGCGGCCCAAATAATGGCCATCAGAAAGCCAATTAGTTTAACAGCCCTAATTTTGAAAAACAAAACAGGCCCATCGTAGCTGTAGACAGTACAGCATAAATCCGGCCATTAGTGAGCAGCCAGGCTATATGCACACAACTGCAGGTAAACATACTAAACACAGTCCATTCCACAAAGTAAGGTGCATATCGCACTCCCATCAGTTGGCTGATAATGAACAAGTAGGTGACAGATGGAAATTTTCCTGACAGCTTCTTATCCCTGTTATCATTGAGTGAAAAGGGATAAACATAGCCTTTTAGAATGTAGCCCAACATTCCGATCAACACGGACTCTTGGTAAACACGGCTGAATAAAAGCTCTGATCCTGCTGGTTCCTCTTTCAGTGAACACAGAAACTGACATTCCTGCAGTTTTCTAGTTTGTTTTATTTTGAATTGATTTATTTTTGTCATCACATGGGCCTGGATCACGGTCACAGGAAGCTAAAACCACAGCTCTGAAAAATTTAGGACACATAAATGGGGCCATAAAAAGAAAATGGAAATAAATTGTTTGTCAGTTTCTCAAAACTTTTTTCAAAATTCACAGCAGCACATAAAAATATCAAAGATGTGAACATTTTCACTTTTCTAAGAAGCTGTGCTGGATTTAACAAAATGCTGGAACAATACCACCAACAGACCGTTGTATTGGATGGGATAAGTTTGATTAACAACAGTTAACATCCACTAAATTCTTGTATAGAGACAACTTTAGAGAGGGAGAGTCTGACAGAAGTAAAAACAGGCAGAGCACCAACAATCTGCACCAAATGCCCCTGACGTTGTGTAGAGATTTCAGAATGATGACAATGTTCCTTATAGTAAGATGACAAACGCAATTAATATTCCTGTATCCAAGGTATGCACAATGTCATCAGGTTTTTCAAGAATCTGGGAGAATTTGCAGTGCCATCCACAAATGCACATAGCCATGTGACTGTGCTTTACAAGTCTTCTTTGGGCAGGAAGTCAGTAAAACAGACAGAGGCATATTTGAAAAATTGCAATGTGGTCAGACTAAGCAAAATTTGAAATGTTATGAGGCACTTAGCTGAAAAGCCTGCACCTCTAATGATATGGGGGTTCAATACTACCCAAGGATCTGTCAGCTTGCTGTTTTGAAAGTAACCCATGATAGTAAAAGGTACATTCCACCATCAGTGCGACATTGCATATAAGAGAAGGACAATGCTCCACCATTACTGCATCAATAACAAAAGCCTGGTGTGCTAAAATACGAGTTCAGGTGGCGGGATGTTTGACTGCAAGTCAAGACTTTCTCGATCTGAAAACATTTAGCATATCATGAATTGCAAAATGCATCAAAGAGGACATAGGAATGTTTAGCAGGTGGAATCCTTTATCAAACAAAATTGAGATTAGATTCATTTCAAAAGGCCCCGGCAGCTGATCCCAGAAGTTTACAGACTGTTGCCAAAAGACGAAGGGGTGGGACCCAGTGGAAACTCCACATGCATTAATGAAAAGCATTGTTACAGCATTCAGCATGCTTTCTGGGCTCTGTTGTGAATAAAGTCTTGATTTATGATTTGTGGATCACTCCATTCTGCTTTTGTTTACATAACACACTGTGGCCGAGCCCTTTATGGAATTGGATTTGCCCAGCAGATCCTGTGCACAAGTGAGATAGTCTGTGTAATTCTACAGAAGTTAGATTTTTTTTTAGAATTCAAATACTCCATAAAGCCTATCTGATGGTTTCCCACGTTTGAAAAGGCCAAAAAGAATGATCACATCTCAATTTGCATTGGTCAGAGCTCATTTGACTGTTTTCTGATCTGTGAAGAAGGCGGTGCAGCTGGAGACTCGCACAGCCGATGCTTTGTGTGTCGCGTTTTGCCGCCATTTTCCATCCTATTAAAAACTTGAAAGTGCTTTAACACAATGTCATTTTCACAGAACCCACTGGGAGCTGGATGTAGGTCCCATTCTCCCACAGGTCCTGTGTCCCCACAGAATCACACTGGGAAAGTCATCTGAAATGGGGTCGTGTTAAGCATGTGCTGGTTGTACAACTCAGAAGACAACCGTGAAGGTGACGCGCCTCCCCTGGATTATGGCACAGAATCCTCCTCGGTTCAGCTGGGCTTTTTTTTTTTTTTTCTGCTGACATGAATATTTTAAAGACCGATGTTGAAATTCCTTTCATTTGGAATCACGTGTTGCTGCTTAGCATGACTGTCAGACCCACAGGCAGCGGGCTGCACACACAACGCCTGCTCTTTCTGCCTCTCTGCCTGCTCTGATCCACAAACACGTGAGAGCCCCACTGGGAGCAAAAGCGTGATGATAATGTTGTGTCTCCTAATCCTTCACGGATGAGAAGAAATCATGCAGAGGTAAAATAATCGAGCGTGGGGATAATATCTGAAATCTGACGTGTTTAAGATATTTTGCTGCGAGGCGAAAATCCTGTGCTGCAGCACTGGAATGTGAAAGAGTGGCTGGGTTTCAGTGTATTCGGAGGCTGAAAAACAAGATGCGCCCGTGCCTGCAGCGTAACCGGCCAAAGGGAACGCCCCGCATTTAAAGCCCTGCAGGTGGCTTCAATGGAGAGTGAAAGCTCTCCCTTTTTAGCACTTGCGAGCCCCCTTGAGACTATTTGCTCTGACAAATCCTGTCTGTGTTTTTGTGGTGAAAAACTGAAAGCGTCACAGTTGGGTGAACATCGCGTCCTGTTTTGGTGAGAGGGCCAAATACCGTTGGGACAAGGGTCGGCTCAACGTTCAGAGCCAATGTCAGGTCCAAATGGCAAATGTTGATCAGCAGCTGACAGTATATCTCACATTATATTTGATTGAGAGGAAATGTGCAGCAATGGGAAAACATTTCTCTTCTTTTTTCACACAAGAAGAAAGAAAGATGTCATTTGTATTATGTTGCCGTTCCAGAATCCATCTTTACAAGCGGTGGCCATTTTAATTTATGATCCAACAGTTGTCACCGACCAACTTGAACGGAATGGGAGACCCGACACCAGATGGTGAAACTGAGCAGGGCTGAGTGACACACAAAACCCTCCGTTGCGTTAGCACTGGAATGCTCTCCAGAAGGCGCTGAAGCCCTCTGTAACTTCATTTTGGTTAGACTCAAACTCAGTCTGAAATTATTAATAACCGAAGTGCCTTATTACTGATTTAGCATTTCAGCTCTGCTTGCGTGTTGACTGATAAAAGGGGGGCCTGCATGATTGAAATCCCTCCATTTGGTTAAAAAATAAAAAGAGAAAAAAAAAAGCCACACCGCATTAAATGTCATCATATTTTGCATGGACAGAAGTCCCTTTACTTCCCTTTTCTTGGGTCGCACATCAGTTTTTCCACTTCCTCTTTAATTCGGCGTTATCAGCAGATGCGGAGAAGATTTCCTCCAAGGCCATCTGAGGCAGACACTTATTCAAAGTGAGAGAAGTGATGAGTGAAATCAGCATTTCACAGGTTTAACAGAGAATTCCGGAGCTTTGTTTTTGACTGCACAGATTAACCAAAAAATTCACACTTCCTGAGAGCAAAGTATTCTTTATCCACTGGAGAACAATGGCTGGAGATACTCAGACTGGTACTAAGCAGCATTCAATACAACCAATTCCTACCCTGTTTCAACCTTAAATGAACAAAAATAGAATAATTCAAGAAAAATGAATAATCAGTTGACTGATTCCACAAGGATTTGTTAGACATCATTGAGCCTTAAACAGTCCATGGTCTATTACATAACAGATTTTACATGCAGCGTCGACAAATAATGAAATGGCTTTTCCCTTAAAAAAGACTAAATGTCATATAGAATAGGCTAATATATAAGAACTACAGTTATGTTAGCCAGCAGTGATCTGCGGCCAGTTCACAGAAATGTCAACAGTAGAACTACAGAGGTGTGACCTTTAAGGGTTCAGGGAGAATAGTCCCAGATGACTCTGCAGGTCCTCCTGCTCCTGCACGCATTTCACCAGAGCCCGTCACTTCAAAGAATGGAAAAAGTGAGATCACACACAGAGGGCCCGCATCATAAAATGTCGACTGATAACCTGGGAAAGCGTGTTTTATTACCTGACAGTGCTTTTCCTTTTTCTGTTCAGATTTGTCCTTACAGCTCCGGAGAGGGGGTAAAACACAGCGACGGGGTGTTCTGCAAAGAATGAAACCTCCCACTGAGTCAATAATTAAAATGGAAATTGCATTCGTTGGGATTTGTCTAGTTTCAGTTTTTGGAAAGGGTGCTCCCATCAGAAAAGTCTGAAAAAAGAACTCCAGCACCAACAGCCAATAAGAACCCCAGGCCTTCCACTCACAGGACCTCTAACTTTCTATTTTCAAATTTTAATCCTCATTGATCATATCTTTTATTAAAAAACTCAAAATATAAAGTCAGTGGTGTTTGTTTTTTTTTACATTCGAGGACTTCCTTCCATAAACACATTAAGAGTGAAGACAGAAAACAGTGTGAAAGGACTGCAGACCTGGTGGACCTGAGGTGAAAGTTCCTCGTGCATTAAGTAAAAGTCACATGATGCAAATCTAGCTGTCATATAATCTGTTGTGTTGTCTGCACCTGAGGAGCAGAGCCACAGCTTCTGTATGGAAAGAATGACACCGTGTGGTCACCAAAGGAAAGGCAAAATCCCCTCCACAAATTTAGACGGCCAGCTCCTCCGTAAATCTTTACCATAACCCACACTGAAAACATGCAAGTTTTAGAATAAGGACTCTTAAAAGGTCTTCATTGGTCCCACTTTCAACACCAACTGAAAGAAGCAGGAACAAAAGTTCAACACGTGTAACACCATTTCTTAAAAATGGTAAAGATTTTTTTTAAAATGCACTCAAGTTGAAAAAATAAAGCTGGTATCTGACAGAGACATTGGGAGACAGTAAACGCTAGCGATGAGATTTAGGTCTTAAAGTCTGCGAGGACGCAGACTGTTCATCTTTAATAATGAAGTATCAGCAAAATGAATTACATTACAAGCACAGCTACAGTATAACTCCAGGACTAATCCATATGAAGAAAAAAAAAAAACATAAAAATACAAACTTTGAATTTAAAAAATGTACAGAAATTACAGAAAAATCGTCGGAATTTAAAAACCAATGCCTGAAAATGGTTTTAGCAAGTCAGAACAAAATGCACTTGTCTTGGAGGTTGGTATTTACACATTTATACATGCCTAATGCAATCATCATTATTTACACCACATGATACTGCAGCAAACTGGAGAAGGGGCTGACGCGGAGGTCCCTCCAACCGTGGCAACGTGACGCAGACAGAAATAAAGATGCCAGATGGTGGGTGCTCTCTCTCCTCTGATTTGTGGCGAAGTTGAGCCCTGGTCTTACAGGACATGCGGTCACACAGACGGAACTGTCCAGCTCTCGCACAAATGGACATCCAAATCCAAAAGCAAGCAAATTACAGGGGGAAGAGTGAAAAAACTGAGCCGAAATAAGAACTAAGGGTGAATATGTGCTGGTTGAAGCCGTTTGTTTTGTTTTTTCAGACCAACTCACAATACATCGTGGCTGACATGGTTTTTAAAAAAATCATTGGAAGTTAAAGTCAGCCACAATTCTAACATTCTTTTTTATTTATTCTTTTTTCTTTCTTTTTTTTTTTACAGCAGTGCCATGAGTGTTTAAGGATGGCTTTAAGTCCAAAATGTCCAAAATCTGTGCTTTTTTGCATAGTCTCAGTGTGGTTTGTGTTTTTTTTTCTTGTGTTTTTTGTCCTTCTTCTTGCCGGAACATTTAATGCAGAACCAGTGCTGGTCCTCGGGTGGCGCTGCCACGAGGCCGACGCAAGGCCTGAGGGGGAAGAGGAAGGAAGCCTGTGTTAGTCAAAAAGGACGGTTGGATTACAAGCAGATTGTGAGCCTGAGTCGGGTGTCAGCTTCTCCACCAGTTAAAATCAATGCCGGCATGACCAGGAATCCTCAACCCTGTGAGCCAACACAAGGATTCTAACAAATCCTGCATTAAAAAAAACTTTAAAAAGAGCAACAGACACAGAAATGCAGAGGGTTGTGTACAAAAATGAATATATACAACAGAAACAAAACAGATATTCGATGGGGTTAAAGAGCGATAAATCACACACCAGTGATACCAGTCGTCACATTCGTCACACCCTATCATGGGACTTCCATCATCAGGTTTTTCGCATCCAGGGCAGATCCAGATCTGGTTCCCCCACTCGTCCACAATCTTTAAGGAAATGGGAAAAAAACAAAAAAAACAGAAAGCGTCTCAGAAACAAAGCAACCACTTCATAAAAGTAGCGGATAAATGGAAACCCCGGGGAAGAAACAACATTATGTTGCTTCTTACTGCCGTAGAGCCGGGTCCTGACAAACCCTGAATATCGTTCGGACCTACCACGTAAGTACTGACGGTCTCAGTCACCACGCTGCGCACCGGCGTCTTGGCGGAGGCGGCGTGGGGCAGCATGGAGGGCGGGGAGAGCAACGACGAGGGCGGGGGGAGGACGGGGGGGAGGGCCCGGGGGACGGGGGCCGGTATGGGAGGCGGCGGGGGCGTCCGGGGACGATTGCCAGGCCCCGACTTGGCAGCGGGAGTCCGGGGTGCTGGCGTCTTGGGCTCTGAATTTGGAACCACTTTGCTGATAACGCTGGTGTTAAACAAGACAAAAAAAACAAAAACAGGTGGGTCAGATGACTAAGCTAAATAACTGAGAGGGGCCATCTGCAGCACTCAGGAAACATCTAAATGTTTCAAATACTACTCCAAAGCTTGGCTTTTGAATGAACTTGTCTAAAAAACTGTAAATGAAGCTGTTTTTGCCTTTTTATCTAAAGTTAAATTACAGGTTACTCCTTGTTTATCTTGTTTCTTTACACCAACATTGTATTCAATATTCCTTGAAAACAATCGGTAAGCATTAGTAGGTCTGAAGGCTTTAAACACGGTGAAGAAATTCTTCCAAAAAAAGGATTATTGTCAAATATATCTGACATAAAGCAGAGAGCAGGCCCATAATAACGCCGGCTGCTGTGCAGGATGTGACTGTACAGAGGGGGGTGAGCCCAGCCCCGACTGTGTGGAGCGTCAAAAACAAAACACTCCAAAAGCCGGGTATTTTCTGCTCGTGATTACGTGGGGCAACACTTTTTCTGGGGGGGTTCCCGGAGACAGCGGAGATGCCAGAACCTTGTGCCAGCGCTTACATTTTGTCCTGGCCGGCTCCCACTCGGAGGGTCAGTCTGGGGATGACCGGAGACGGTAAGGCCGCTGGAGTGTCTATTTTCACCTGGGCAGAGAGAGCAGAGAGAGGGGGGGGGGGTCTGTCAGCGAACACTGAGGTGCACACAGGTAAAGGATGACCCCAAACACAACGCCTACCTTTTCCAATCGAATTCTCTCCTTCTCTTTCTCCTTTTCCCGCTTCTCCTTTTCCTTCTCTTTCTCTTTCCGCTTGTCCTCCTTCTCCCGCTCCTTTTCCTTGGCCTTCTCTCGCTCCTTGTCCTTCTCCTTATCTTTCTTCTTCTTCTTCTCTTTCTTGTCCTTTTTCTTGTCCTTTTCCTTGCTCTTCACCTCCTTGTCCTGAAGGATCGGGGCCAGAGAAGGAAGCATGGAGGGCATGCGCAGACAGGTGGAGGGGCTGAAGAGGGGAGGGATTTCCCCGAGAACGAAGGGGGACACTGCTGAGGACTTCTGCTTGTCCTCCTTGCTCCTGTCCTTCCCTTTGTCCCTCTTGTCTTTGTCTTTTTTACTTTTTTCTTTGTCCTTCTTCTTGTCTTTGTGTTTCTCTTTCTCCTTCTTGGGGCCGTCTCCATCTCTGGATTTAATTTTGATGGAGCCCTCGGGCAGAGTGAAGTCTGGTGGGAAAAAGCGGTCTTCGTCTTTCAGGCCAAACTCCTTCCACGGTATCTTCAAATCCTTGGGAAATTCTTTGCTTTTGTCCCTGTTCTTGTCCTTGTTTTTCTCTTTGAGCTTGCTCTTGTCCTTTTCCCTGTCTTTGTCTTTCGGCTTATCTTTCTCCTTCTTCTTCATCTTGGTTTTGAGCTCTTTCTTCAGCTTCTTCTTCACGTCCAGCGTGGGCACGATCTTGTTCTTCTCCTCAAACACCTTGAGCAGAGGCTCGGGGGTGGGCGGTGAGGCCGATCCTGACGACACGTACTCCGCCTGGTTCGGTTGGGGGGCGGACGGACCCCCCTGGTTTGCCCTCCGGACCACCTCATTGATTGAATCCTCCAAAGTCCACTTCCCGAGGCCTGGGGGGCCCTGCAGGTGAAGTGGTGTTGATGTGTCTTTTAGCAAATTGCAAGCCCCTATGGGAAGTTTGGGTGTAGACGGCTCCATGATGGTCAGCCTCCTGGGGCTGGAGAAACCGTTGCTGTCTGAGTCGGAGCCCGAGGAGAAAGCAAAAGGGTCCGGCTCCCGCTCCTGACATGCTCTTGCTATCACGGCATCTATGGAGTCGTCGATGGCTTGGTTTTCCGGCTCCAGCTTCTTGAAAGGCCCCTCGGCCACCTCCCTGTCCTCTATAATCCGGTGCATGTGGATGTTCTCCTTGCCCATTCGCTCGCTCAGCGCAGACAGCGGGAGCTTGTGCAGACCGTCCGGCTTGCTCGGAGGCTGCGGCGTTTTAGCTGAACTCATCTTTGGGCTCTTGGGGCTTTTGGGACTCTTGGTCCTGCCGGGGGACTTTTTCCTCTCTTTCGATGGTTTTGGAGAGTGGATGGGACTACCACCCGGAGCTGGGATGATCCCTTTCGGGGACTTAGTCCGTTGTCTGCCGGGTGAGGAGACCTTGGGCTTCCTGGCTGGAGGGGTGTGGCCCTTTTGATCGGTGTGTTTTGGTATAATCGGCTGAGGTCTGAAGGAAGGCATGGCCCCAGATGGCGTTTCGGGTGACAGGGGGTCAAGGCTGTCATGCGAGGGCAGTATGCCTGGTGGAACACGCTGGGGGTTCAGGGAGGTGAGGGGCTCCCTGGGTTCAACCCCCCACTCTGGGCTGAGGCCGGGGTACATGCGTGGTCTCTTGGAGGTGGGCATCATACCCAGAGCTGCATCAGGGCTGTCCAGATGCCTCTTTAGTGGGTGGTTTTCATCATTGACAGTCTCATCTTCATCCACCTCCTCCTCGTCCTCTTCCAGCGCCACCTGCATAGCTTCAGCGGAGGTGCCCATGTCGGCAGGGACCTCCTCCTCCTCCTCTTCTGCATGGCAAGGAGACAAAAATGTATTAATATCTTAATCCTTACGGTAAAACCTGTTGGAAAGAGTTTTAGAAACAGAAACATATTTTCCCGACAAAGACAGTCAAACTAAAGCAATGTCATCCAATCTGTCTCTAACTTTTACAGCACTGCCATAAAGATGTAATTCGGGTTACCATCACTTATTCTACAGCCATGGAAACGTTTCTGGAAGCAATACAAATGCACAAAGCATACCAAGAGGATAGACACAATATCAACAAAGTAGCATTTTTTAAAATTCCATAGAGAACTCAATTAAAGATGTAGATCATAACATTCAAGGAAACTGAAGTCATAGCAATTTTTGGGGGGTGGCTAGTTATAGTACAAGCTGATAACTATATTTGTGCCCTAGGATCTAACAGTCAACCTGAAAAATACACGGCGCGTGCAAAGTCATTTACACATGGCCGACAACTGTGCTGACCTTCTTGCAGGGATACCAGGGGTGGCATGTAATCTGGAATGTAATCCTTTCTTTCCTCTACATCTCGGGCTCCAGGCTGAGGAAACTGCAGGACGTTGTTTTTGCTAACAGGAAAGAGCGGCGTCTGCTGGGCAAAGGCCACGGGCTCCAGGTTGTTGACATAGTCCTCCAGTTCGCTCAGGCTGACCCCCAGCAGCCTGAAGGCCTGGCTCACATCGTCCAGCACCGGGTCAGTCCTCCCGTCTGAATCGTGAGAACAAAAACAGGCAGTTGGAAAGCAGCGCAAACTATGAGTGGTCCCTTCCGCCTGAATAATACTGCTGCAACTTAGAAAAAAGTTTGATGAGTACAAATAGGTTCCATGACTGAAGGCAGAAATGATGCTCAACAGGTTTAAGACTGAAATGGAGTCATTTTACAGATTTAACAAGGAAACAATACACAGAGTCTACTTGTAGAGTTAAAAATAACGAGGGACAAAGGACAAACCAGTAAAAATCATATATTTCTATCCTTATATATAGTTTCGGCTGTGCTATGTAGCTACTGTACTTTTTGACACATCAACCTTTGCTAGGGGGCGCCAGCTAAGAGCGAGTCAACAACAACGTGACCCACTACTTTGGGTTTATTGGTTAAAAAAGTCAGCAAAAGTACTTACACAACTCAGAGTACCGGTGGCAACCTCTGGCCAGCTGCTGGATGTATCTATGCAGCACATCGGAGAGCAGATCGCACGCAGTGAGCTGAACTGCATCCCAGCCCAGAGCCTGGCAGATCTGCGCCACCGAAACACGCAGCAGCGAGCGGGCATAGCTCTCGCACATCTCGCTGACTTTGTTGCCGTATAAATCCCGGTCAGTTCCTCTTCAAAAACATGCTCTCGGACCTCATGTTTCGCAGACCCCACTAGGGGCTCGGGAAGACCCACTAACTCGGTTAATTTTGGACATCTACTTCAGTAAATATATTGGCGCTTTTGCCAGAGTCGCCATCTTGAGTTCATCGATAGACCCATCCCCGAAATCTAGTCTGCACATGCGCACAACGGAGCACCTCCCTACGCTACTTTCCGGTGTTCGAGCGGTTCGTCGCTGTCTGAGCATGCGCAGAAGGCCCAACAATGGCTGGCATGTCGCTAGCAAATGGTGTCTGTCAGCTCACAGGCATAAGGTCAACGTTTGATCAGTTACATGGTCTCTGTCGTCATTACCTTAAAGGGCAGGCTGTATATGGGTCTACAGTTGTTTTCTCGGGAGTATTTTAACGTGCTGAACAAACCAACGGTCAGTTTTGGTTTCCGCTTTCACACAGCTGAGTCACACTTGCGCCGCCCTGCTCACTACGACTTTTTCCCGTTGCCATTAAAATGAATTAACACTGGGAGGTTACTTATTTGACAGTGTCAGCCACGTAACGTTGTATTTTTAGGATCTAACGTAGCAAAGATTTGAATCTGAACATGTTCACGCGTCCAAAACCTGGCGGAATGGTTGACAGTGATGAAGCTGGTGTTCACCTGCACCTTTGAGCCTCCACGCAGGGTGGTGCCGGAGGACCAGCCCTGGAATTTTGAATGACTTAACAACTTTTAATCGTACTTTAAATGACAAATGACGTAATATAGAATTAAAATGCTGTTTGTAAAAATGCTCCTGGCCATGTTTTAAAAGCTATGTTTTCTCATTGTTCCTTCATTTGGCATTAAACTGAAACATTTACAATGATTGCTTCAAAAGGTTTTTCCACGGATTTGGGGAACAAATCTCCCATCAAAGATAAAAAAAATAAATCATAAACAAGGAAACAAAACCTACTTGTGTCATGTCATGCATCCTCCTTTTAAATCCCTTTAGAAAAAGCTTGTAAGCCAGCATACTTGATGCTGGTATGGTTTTGAATAGGTGTAGTGTTCCCAGCTTTTCACAGAGTTCATTGTACATCTGTTGCTGAGCTCCATTATCCTTTTAATTTCATTCCAACTCCATTTTCAGAGGGTAATGATTATCTAAAGAACCTTCCCTCACTTCACTGCAGTATTCCTCTTTTAATCTGCTAGACAACTGTTGGATTTAGCTATTAATGATTTCCCCTAAATAGCAGATTTTCTTGCCCTCATTCTGTCATTCTCTAGTACCCTGTCGTGATAGCATGTGAGGCTACCTAACCATTGTGCACTTTCTAACAGAAATGTTCTCCGTCGGACCTGGAATTCCTAAGACTGCAAGAAAAGATGTGGGATATCCAAATGACAAACGAACCAAAATAGCAAAATAACTTTTATGAATCAGTTTGGGATCATCTTCATAGAAAACAAAAGCAAACAAAATCCACAGAAAATCTTTGGTATATCCTTTAAAAACGGGGAGATCTTTTTCTTAAAACTTCAACAAGAAACGGTAAAAAGATAATCGACGAAGGTTCAGGATGCCATTAATCATAAAAGTGATCATACAAAATAGTGTCTTTCAGGCCAGTGAAAATGATCCAAACTGAATTAATATTGATTTGCTTTCAATTTTAATAAAACAGATTTAATAAAATGGGAAGTCATATTTTAGGATTGAATACACCGAAGCAGAACCATGAATGAAACGTATTTATTTTCAGTCAGCGTAATCTATTATCAAAAGGTAAGATCCTTTACTCCGTCCTTTGAGAGTAAAGAATCACTGTACATTAGTAAACTTTAAATATGTAACATAACTCTACAAATATGCCTAAATTAGCTTTGTTTCATCCAAAAATAGTCAGAATTGTATGGACAATGGAGAGCAGAGTAAAAATCAACTTTTTACAGTATAATTTACAATAAAATATTTATACAAAATGTAGACAGACAGCACAGCTGTCAGCATGTTGGCGATAATGCCAGTCTATTCATTTACTGAATCATAGCTAGACCTACACACAAACATAAAGAATTATTGCAGTGTGTGCTGAAGTATAACACCACTTTAAATGCTCTAAATACGTCCAAACAGGCAAACTTGACTTTTTGCACTCGTCTCAGTCAAGCTGTCAACATTTCACTCGGAGACTTTGTCACAAACTCGTTCAGGGTGACTGTCAGAATCCCATTCTTCTCAAAGGCACTCTCTGTTTTTGTATCTGTAAGAGGGAGAATGACACAATCTTAAAACTTTTGCGGTGAAAATGCAGTAATGCTGATTGTAACACATGTAAACACAACAGGTACTGAAAACAGTAACTAGTCCTTAAAATAACTTGGAACATATTCAAAGGGAACACTTCCATTTTTTATTTCGGATGTATAGTTTAATCTTTAGCAAACTAACTTTGTCTATATGTTTAAATACGTGATGTTTCTGCCACATGACTGGATTATTTGAGACTTGCTCTTATGAGGTGTTAAAGACATAGGGGTTTGAAGTCGTCACATATTTCCCTACAGCGTTGTCTCACCAGTTATAAATACTGTATAGCGAGATGAAATATTCTGGACTTGTAGTCGGAGCAAACATGCAAGATAGTCAGGATGATCCTTGGACATCAGGTCACACTCGTGGTAAGGCAGGACCTCGAGGATTCCAGCATCTTGGCCCCAGAGAAAGAGCTGCTTCTTCTCATTTGCCTCGCTGCTCAACCTAGATTTGGAGGGCACGGAGCTTATGTTCAGAAGGCTTCTCCAAAATAAACATGCAAGTTCGCCGATCCAGCTCAAAGACATAGAGGCAGTTTGTCTTTAGGTGTGTAATCGTGGTTATTTTATATTAAGTGCTGTCTGACTCACACACTTTTAGAAAGCACTTCTTTTTCTATACATAAGCCATGGCTTTCCAAATAATTTAAATAATGTCAACAAACCAATAGTCGTAGAACAGATGCTGCCACATCTGCTTGATATGGAAATGTCTCCAAAAGTTTGCAGACATTTACATAGCTGCTCCCTCACCTTGCATTTTCTTTCAGACGACGGCTGTCTCTGTAGTGTAGCATCCATTTCCACTTCCCCATTTTGCTTAATTCTTCCAAGATTTCCGTTATCCTTTTCATGTCACCTATGAATTCATACAACAATTGGGAGAGTGAGTTGAACCCGAATGGCTTGCTTATGGTATGCTAAACGTCTCAAAACAGCGAGATGAAAGTTCTAGAAGCTTACAGAGGCTGAGTGGCTCCAGGACAGTTCTGTCAACCATTATAAAGCCACCCCTAGTGAAGAGCTCCTGGTGGGTGAGATTCACGACATCGTCTGGTTCGTCAATTCCGGCAAACTGCACATCTGGGGACAGCTTCAGCTTGAGCAGGTGTGGTACCTGATAACCAGACAGTCCCATCATTAAATCGGAGCAGACGTCTGTCTAAATGCAGCTGGGAGACCTCGGCTGGCCCCTTACCTCAGTAATGTGCTCTGCAATGTCTTCATTTCTGAGGATGATGAGTAGAGATGAAGAACTGTCCTCACCCAGGAAGAACTCAGACGGCTGTACAACAGTGTGGCCCTTTGCCTCTAACTGCACCTTAAGAGTTTTAAGGAGACATGAGACAGCTTTGAAATGTATTTACCAGTAGCTTCACCAACATCCCCTTAAAATACACATGGACTGTTTCAGGAAATCTGTATAGAATTACAATCTACCCTGTAGCAGCTAATTCTAAATACATACTAAACCCATAATTTGCCAATACATACCATTATTAGACATATTTGGTATATATTGAGAATCACATATAGATGAGGTTCAATATCAAGTGGAAACACTGAATGATGATACTAAAAATGGGACATAAATGAGTTTGAGGGCTTTATCGGTTGATATTGGGATTTCTCAGATGAAAAACAGGTCTGAAAACCTGATTCTCTTGCCCGCAAAAGGTCCTATGTTGCATAAAAACACACAACAGCACAATGCCAGAGCCTGCACTACAAGTTAGGATGTACAATTTGTTCCTATGCAAAGAAAAACTTGTCCTGCTCTCAAATCAACAGCAATACGAGTAGAGAGAGTCAATATATGGAAAAATATAACATATTTTAACATATAGTGAATTATTAAAAAGCAAGTTGTGATGATATCTACATATTTGTTTGTTTTAAGGACCAAAGATGACTCATAAAAGCTGAAAAAGTTAATTGCATCTATGAGATTAATTCCTTTTTTTAGCAGGCTACCATTACCTTTGTTTCTTCAAAGAAGACATCATCCGATGTCGCCAATATGTGGAATCTGTACTTTCTCCTACAGGATTTCTTCACCACTGCGTTCAGATTACTCCGGAACGTTTCATCCAGTTCTTTTTTCATTTGGTGACAGAAATCAAAATGGTTGCTGGACTTGGTGCTCCCTCGATTTCTCTGCATTCTCGCGCTCTTTTGCCTCCAGGAGGCCTTTCTGACAGAGCAGACGTCTTGCATCTTTGCCTCGTACAACTTGGCGAATTGTGCGGTCATGCCAGAGATGCCGGCATGTTCCACCGGGTGGGACCCTTCTTGAGAAGGAGCTTGAGGGTGCAGTGTCTTCTCTTTCTCTACGGCCTCTTTTTTGGGAATGTCAACTGTGATTTTTTGTTCAAAGAGTGTTTTGTCCACAAAATCCAAGGAATCCTCCTGCTCCTTTAGATTTGAGAAGCTGACAACCAATGGGCTGGTGCCGGATAGCCTCCGACCGTCTTGTTCCTCCTGTTTGCAGATGGGTCCCCTCCTGCTCTTTTTCAAAAGGGTCTTTATTTTCTGAGAGAAAATGAGGCACTCTTGTTCCAATGAGGCCTGGGTGAGGTCCTTTGGCAAGCATCTCTGCGAGAGCTGCTCCAGCATGGTAGGAGACCTCTTACGATCGTTGTTGAAGATCGTGCATATAAGAGACCCTTCAGATCCAGGGGCCTCATTTTTCTCCCCAACGGTATCGTCTTTGGAACGCACTGGCAGTTTGTGCGAGCAGCCTTTGCTATTCATGTTTCTTGTTTTTTGCTTGACCTTTTCGTGTAAACTGGAACTTGGAACGCCTTGGTTTCCATCCACACCTTCGGGGTAATATCCTGTAGATTCAAAAGACTCCATGGGAAGAGGCGATACTGGAACTGTGTTTAATTTTGAAATGTTATCTTCCTGGTACTGCTGTGAACAACCTGGCTGTGCCAATTTATTTTCTTCCAGGTTATATTTAAAGTAGGTAACACTTGGCAACGGGGTTGTTTTTGAAGAGAGCTCTTGGATGTTGTGGTTATCAACTGGCCCATTTGAACTTACCAAAGGCTCTACTGTCCCAGTATGTGCTGCATCATTTTTTAATAAAAGTGCACAAATCTTTTTGTTCAGCGTGGTAGTTTCAACACCGGCATCTTTATAGGAGTAGTTTAGCTGGCTTTCATCACTCTTGGATGGTTTCACGGCCATAACTGGGCGCTGACTACAAAGCGGAGGTTCCTGATTGAGACTGGGTGGCGATGCTTTGTGTTCATCTCGCAAACCTTCAGCAGAGACAAACGGTTTGGAGGAGTGATCAGGTAGCCCCACAGCCAGGTCGTTTTGAGTGAAGGAGTCAGCCTGGTTTGATTTGGAGAGGTATCTGCCAATACTTTGCAAAACTCTTAGGGTTCTCAGTTCAAGATCGGGATGTGGGCTGGGATAAGTGTTAACTGTAGTAGTTGGACATTTCTGTTCCAATGATGGCTCATCATTAACAGGCATTGAGGCTCTGTTGAGAAATTTTGGAGTCGTCAAAGCAGGAGTGCTACTGTTAGTGCTTAAAGAAGGCATCTGCTCATCTGGTTTTTCATCTATAGTTGGGGTAGGGCACCTGTTGTCAAACGCGTCACAGAAGACAAAGGAATGAGTTTCACTTTCATCAAGAAGTGATATTGTGTGGGCTGACTGTTCCGTTTCATTGCAGACCTGAGATGTGCTATCCAGAACATGTGGCAGGGGAGATACCGGGTCAACATTTTCATTTTCAAATGGCACAGCTTGCTGGCCCTTAAACGTTTCTTCGACATGGGCTTGTGATTGGACTGCATACGCCCCAGAGATGTCCCTTCCAATAAATGGAATTACAACTCCAGTCCAACTTTTTTCCTGCTCGTCCATCGTCTCCTTGGTTGTGTAATCTGTTTCCTCAGCAAATGACAAGCCTGCCTCACACTGTTCTGTAATGTCACACTTAGGTGAACGAGGGCGATTTTGAAACGGTTCATGTAGCGTTGCCTCTTCAGTAGCTTCCTCTTCTTCTGCTGACTTGGTTTCCTGGCCTGCCGAAACATTACCATTTAGATCTGATAACCTGCTTTCATTTCCCTCTTTAGCTACATCCTTGGGTTCAGAAAAATTAAAATCTGACTGAGACTCATCGGCTGAACTTGTGCATTCACTGGGCACGGCCAGTGCAAGCTTGGTGCCATGATTAAGGTCAACCAGGCGAATCCCCTCCAACTTTTCCTCTCCAGCAGAAGTTAAACACATTTCTGACAAAGAGTTTGAAATGTTCTCATTGGAACACTGATCTTTCTGGGCGATAGGATCTGCACACATGTTACTGAGGGCCTCTTTTGTGCTCTCAATAACAGGTAGCTCATCCATTTGTGCTTGATGATCACACTCTGAAATGCGGTCCTCTTTTTTATAACCATCCCATGGCTTGACCAATGGCTTATCCATCAGGTCTGCCTGCATAGCCGAAATGCAACTTTGTTCCTGGTCAAGTTCGTCCTCTTGCAATCCATCCACGTCTTTCAACTCTGTGCCTTCACATGTTCTAGAAACAATTTCATTGCCATTTATGTCAGCCTGATCTGATGACAAGGCTGTACATGGAAGCTTTTGTTGTTCAAAATCGTTTTCACTGCAAAAGATTCCCGATTCTCCATTTTCAGATTCATCAACAGATGTCTGAAGCACCTCTTGAGGATGATCTACAGATATCTCACTGCATGGGTTTTTCTTTACTTTGCAGCTTTTCAGAGCTTGGAGTTCCTGTTCATCATGCTCTTCTGTATGACCCACACCATCTTTTTCTTTGCCAGAGACCATGCTTCTTCCTGTCAAAGATTTGGATGAATCCATTCCCTTTTGTGAAACCAAACAGTTCTCTGTAGCATCTGAATTTTCAGTGAAAGCTTTCATATCACTGTTCTTTTTTTTGGGTCTTAGTAGCACCTCTCCAATTCTAAATGGAGTTGGAACAGTTTCCAGCTGAACTGGTGCACTTTGCATTTCTTCTTGAGTGGCCGTTCCATCACGCTCAGAAGACGCAGCATCAGTGTACTCCGGGCACTTGGCAGTTTGGGACTCAGGCATCTTATTTTCGTGAATGCTTCCGCCATAGGTCAAGTCACCGACCAGTCTCGTTGAGTCCCCAATCTTTTTTTCACACTGGAATAGAGAAACAATGAACGTGATTAAAGGATTACACTATGTACGAGCACTCATTTAGTTTGAACATCTAAGATGGTTACTATTTTGTAACAAAAACAAATGTGATCCATTTTACCATAACATCTTATGAATATTTTTTAATCAGTGAGCCAGCAAGTAAAAAAAATAATTATGTTTTAAATGGCACAATTAGTTACTCATTCTTCATGTGAATTTCTTTAAGTAAAATGTTTGTGAACATAAAGTAAGTAATGAGGTGAGATAATTCAACAGACAGTAACTGAGGAAATATAACCTGGAATGTGCTCACCTCCTTTGGCTCTCCTGGTGACTGGAGGGTGTCCACTTTATCAGACTGTTCTGTCTGGTCACTAGACCGAAGAGTCCTTTTGGGGCTGACGTGTTGCCCTGAAGAGTCAGTCAGGTTTTTCAGGGACAAATCCAAAATCTCAGATTCTGCTTCAGTCGCAGAAGCGTCTTTTTTGCTAAAGTCTAAAGCCTCTGAAACCAAAGGAACTGGTGCATTTGCTTTATTTGAGATAGAAGCAGATGGATTGGTCCTAAGACTAGGCCTTAATGGTCCAGATGCCATGCCGCCCTCCTTTTGAAGAGAATAATTTCCCTTTGGCGATGGGCCCCTAGGACTCGAGTCATCCTGAAAGAACCTGGCGGTAGTGCGGCTGTAAAACAAGCCGATCCACATGTGGAAGATGAGTCGTACTTCCTCTCTAGTGTCTTGAATGGATAAGTCCCACGGCCTATTGGAGATATATCAAATGTACAAAAATGAACTACAGTTTGCAAACATCAACAAAGTAGAACAGTGAACAAGAACAAGTTTCAGTTCTGAAATTCCTGGGATAAAAATAGAAGCAGATGTTACATACCCGTGCAATGCTCGGAGGATAGTTTTGTCCTTTGGGTCACTTGTAAACCTGCTGTCTAGATTAAAGTCATAGTTTTCTTTCCATTCCTTTGTGACTTGGATGGCTCCCGCCTTCATAACAAAGGAACGAGAGTGTCTGAACTTGCGCCTGTGCTTCAAACGGAAGTTGGAAGTCCTGTTGTTTTCGCTTATGTCTTCCTGAACGACAGGGGGGTGTAGTGTTTTCAATCCATCGCCATACATTGTCTGGTAATGGTGCAGCAGTCTGGTTGAACCACTTAAAGGTAGTACCTGGAAGGGAGTACCTGGCAAATCCAACAGTAGAGAGGAAGATGGGGGCAATGAGTAAGCATGTTCTGTAGTTACCAAACCAACCAAATCACTGTCTCCCACAAGTGGGCTTGGTGATGGAGACTTATGAGGCTGTATGAATTTAGCAGCAGGCTGTCTAAGCAGAGCATGAAGAACCGATTCTTGTTCAGCCCGTGTAAGACCTTTTGTGAGGTCAAGCTTCTTCAAACTTGTCTCAGATTTTCTCCCAAGTGCTGGATTTGATTGAAGAGGAACCTGGTCATTATTGGCACCGAGTGCCAAGTCAGCTAGTAAGTTCAAAGCATCTGTAGATGAGCAAGCTTTTTTCATTTTTCCCTTAACAGTCTTCCTGACAGAATTATCTTTAGTACAGTCATTGTTTTTGAGATTTTCACTGGCAAAACAAGCTGGAGTTTGAAAATGCAACCACCCTGTGAAGACAAAACAGAGGAAAAAAGAAACGGCATGAAGATAAAAAGTAGCACATTTAAAGCACAAGAAATACACCATTGTATTATGACTAATAGAAACTGGTCACCAACATGTACGGCATGTAATCCTTTAGAAGTCTATTTATTTAATCAGTAATGGCAGGTTTGGATGCAGATTGCATCGGAAACCCAGCACAGGCATGCACAAGCACAAAGGAAATTTTGAGGTAAATGCTTAGCAAAAAGCAGGTCAGGCATGCCCAGGACAGTTTTAGGAGATAAAAAGCCAAGAAAGGAGTCGTTTCGTGCACAATACCAAAGAGATAATCAGATTATGGACGAAACAAGTAACGCATGCCCACACAGATTTTAGCGAAATATGACTTACATTTCTTTTTGACATTTTCTGCAGACATCCCTTGATGCTTTTTGAGGGTCTTTATCCTAACCCGCTTTGGGAAAATGGATGGAGGCCGTTGCATGATTTGGTGCTGCTGATCTGCAGAGGTAAGTTCTTGAGTCTCCAAGTCTTTTTTGTTGTCCTGCAATTGTTTGGCCTCAGTTGTCTGAGCTTTAAATAAACTGTTTATAGGAGTCAGCCCCAAGGCATAGGCAAAAACGGGGTCAACTGTAGGCTCCTTTGACACTTGATTAATTCCAACATCAGGGCTCTGGATAGCTGCCTCAGAATCAGAGTCTACCTTGACTTTCTTGACAGAAAGGGCGGAATCTTGGGCAGAAATGTCAGTCTCTTCTGCCGTCACAGTCAGATCTTTTTTTCTCTTTCGTCTTGACAGAACTGACTTTAACCTGCTCAGCAGAACTCCCCCATTCATTTTGGACTTTCCTGGAAAAATGGGTTTAATTTGTTTTTCCTGAGCAGCTTCTGGTGCAGGAGCACCTGGGTCCTCATTCTCTGAAGGAGCAGCTTTTGTCTCTAGAGGTAAAGGCACTGAATCACTGAGACCTTCTGACCGTGTCTCCTTGACTTGATCAGGATCATCGTTGGTGACACTTGGAGCATTGTCCGCTCCATCTGTGGGTTTTGTGTCCACCATTTCATCCACTGCCATCTCTGAAGCAGTGCTCGTCTTCTTCTCCATTTCCACTGAATCAGAAGTCGTAAGAGCAGCATCTTTGGGTTGCTGTTCATCTTTTGTAGTCTGGAGCTTGGCAACTACAGACTTAAAATTGTGCGCAAACTCCAGAGAGCCGTGAGGAACCAAGATTCTTCCGCATTCGCTCACAACTGGCTTGAGGTCCCAGCGCTCAGTTTTCTTTTTCAGACGAATGGTCTCCAGTTGTTGCAGGATGGCGGTTTCCAGGGTGTGCTGTCCAGCGTCTGCTTTTTTCACCACGGCTGAGCCGACGGTGGCTGGTATCAGTTTTTTGTTCCTTAGTTTTCCAAATCTGCGCTTCCGCCGATGATATTTCCTCCAGGTTTTTTTCAAAGGATGGCTCAAAAGGGAGCGGTCTGGTTCCTTAGTCCGTTCATCCACCTGACAGTTTAAACTAACAACCTCCAGTGGGGCTGTGGCCACCTGCAGACTGTGAGCCTCGACACAGGCTTTGGAGCCGCTCTTCTGCGCTTTGGACACTCCTCTGTGCAGTTTCCTCGGTTGAGCCCCTGTGCCATTGGTGACCTTGGGGGATTTCAGAACCGTTTTTGTTTTGTCAGTCTCACCACAAAGAGAGTTCAGTTCTGGCGTCGGCAACATGACTCCGGTTGGGAAACCAGGAAAATGAAAGCCACTGGGATTTGCCGACGCCACAGCACTTGCATCGTTAACAGTTTCGTCAGTGCTGCTGTGCTCCGCTGAGGTGATGCTGACAATGAGCTCTGAGGAAAGATTCTCTGAGGGATAAGTGAAAGCCCCCTTTTCCCCTGCATCATTCCTTTCGTCAAGTCCAGCGAGGTCCATGGACTTTTCATCGTCTTTGGAAAGATCCAGAGGTTGCAAGTTGTCTGGCTCAACAGACGGCATATCAATGTCCACTGGATTCTCAACATTGACAGCAGCCTCTTGGTCCAGTAACTGTTTGTCTGATTCCATTTGAACAGGACTGGCTGGTGCCTCCTCAGGTGATGACAGACAGATGTAGACATCATCAACGAGGTCTTCTCTCCGCTCCTCCTGTCCAGCCACCACGATCTCTGAAACTTTGGATACAGGCAGCTGAAAGGAGTTTGGCTTGCTCAGGTAGGACTTGATGCTCTCCCATCCCTGGTCAGTCCACTCTGGGGTTGAGTAGAGGTGCTTGTGGGCATCTGTGACGTCGTACTGATCTGGAAAAATGCTGACCTCTCTTGAGGGGCTTATTACCAGTCCTGGGTTTATCAGCGTGGCGTAACTCTGGATATGCTGCGCCAAAACCTCACACAACTCTTCACCCGGGTCCAGAGGCGTTTTCTCCACTTCAGACTCTGCATAACTTAGCGCAGGTAGAATCTGAAGGATTTCAGCAGACAAGGGAAACTTATTCTGTCCAAATTTTGTGTCTGTGACGAATAAAGAAAGGATGCTGTCTTAGTAGGCGTTCTAGTATTTGATCAATTCATGAAAACAAAAGCCTGTGATAAATCTTATATGAACAAGGAACCACAAAAACCTCTACTATCATTTCCCTGTTAGCATCTGTGAACTGCATGCTGACTTTTCTACTGGTAAGCTTTGCTGTTGTAATACATACACGTTGTTAAATATTGACCGTTTGTTTGCCACAATTGTCCATAAAATAATATTTCATGAGATTTGCAAATCATTTCTTGAAAGTATTTCAGTTTGTGCCCGATAGCATTCCTTCCAAAATAAAAAAAATTACTTAGGGGCTTCAGACCGTATTATATTTAAAAATTTGTCAGCCGACTGAGGTCACCAAAATTGTCTGGTGAACATGAAAAAAAAGTTACACTCACCTCTCCTTACAACTCGAGAGTCAGGAAACACAAAGATTCCTTGCAAGACCTCAGCCGGAGAGGTGCCATGATCTATATACAAATGGATATAATTAGGTCTTCTAAGTATCACCCTGGCATAACCTTTCATTTGTACCCTGTCAAAAATTTGTACAGCTTACCATGATATGTGAAGAACTGGGAAAAGTGCAAAAGTATAAGAAATCCACCATCATTTAACGGAGCAGCTAGGGCCTGTGCAAAAAAAAACAACAAAAAAAGCCATGGTATTTGGTATTAGATTTCCAGAGAAAAACTATGTTCCAGAGCAAAATATTGATAGTTGAATATATAATTTGTTAATAGAAAATAAAATGTAATTGGCTGCACATGTACCATATCAACATATCAAAGCTTTACGAACTCACAAGATTTTTCTCCTTTATCTCTCGTAAAAGCAGGGCAAATGAGTTGGTTTCCTCCCCCACAAATTCGCAAAGACTGCAGTAGAAGCCATCAAGAAAGACTGAAAAACAGGGGAGAGGTCAAAACCACCTACTTCATACTGATATAAATATTTCACCAGAACAAAATAGTGATATTATTTAAAATACTTTCTCTTAAGTGCCAAAAAAAAAAAAGATAAAATAAGAAAATACAGACACACCCTCTTCGGTGTAGCGGGCTTCAAACACAGCTTTTGGCAGCAGTTGTCGCAGAGTAGACATGGAGATGACTTTGTCAATTTTCACCACAGATTGCCTTAAAAAAATACATATATGGTTTATTTAATGAAACCCTAACATGATATGAATCCCACATGAATAGAACGTGTGTGAACATTTGACGTACAGTTTTGCAGGGATGAGGGCTCCTGCAGTCGACCTCAGCTCAAGCGCGTAGAGCTGACTGTCTATCTGAAGCTGACCCTTCCATGCCAGGTAATGGCAAACTGGACAAAACAACCAAAACACAACTATTTAGATATATGCATAATCTGAGGAACCTTTAACATGGCTAATTAGTACGTTTACAGCATTGTCAACTCATTGGCTTTTCAGTGATAACATGAAATATCTATTTTCTTTTTTTTTTTAAGTGTCCTTCAAAACAAATTCTAACAGTCGTCAAAACCAGTTCAAATACTAAAACGTGTCTGTTTCAGGACAAAGTGCATAAAAAACAAGCAGTACAAAAAAGAGACACGCAAACTGGAATAAGTTTATGATCCCCCAAAAAGGTGACCATACAGCCACCTAGATTAGTGGGCAGACCCCCATTCCCCCACGTTCCAAGCTTTACTTAAGACAAGACTATCAAGCGCACGTTTGAAAGGGGAGGGGGGAAAAAGAAACATTGTAAAGCATTTTATGGAGCATAATAAATGGTTCAAAGGTACTTTAGAACGCGATACCATGTATTACAATCTAGGGAAAATTACCTTAAAAAAGTAACAACATGCTAATATTGCACCTTCAACCATCATAATGATAAAGAATGATGTTAGTTTAATAATTAGTGAAACTATGGATGAAACAATTGTTCATACTTCTAGAAAAACAACCAAAGATTCTACACAGGTCTTACTATTCCACAGACTTATAGACATTGAACTTTATGGCAGGTGAGAGCCTTGACACTGCTGCTCTGGCATGTTTGAGCATGCTTTGGATAACCCTGAAAAAACTAAACAGGAAAAACAACTGATAGTGCAACCATGACCAGACAGAATCTGTAAGCTTTTTAGAGGGCGAAACACACCCAGCCAATGCAGCTGTGAATAGAACCACTCTGTCATGAGCACTTTTATAAACTCTGAGGTGCCACGGTACTCAGCTCATGATACAAAGCTCCATCATTTAGCTAAAATAAATGCGTAAATAGCAAATATATGAAGTTTCCAATAAAGCTTTCTTCATCCCCTTAGTTTTCTTCTTTTGTCAATGCATCAAAATGAAGAATCCCTTCAGTTTCACCATAAATCACATGTTACTTACCAGTCTTTTTCATTTCACTGAAAAGAGAAATGAGGACATAATTAATGGGGCTTGCATATTTTCAACTTGTATGTACTGGTGCTGGATTAGAAAATGAATCATGCTTCAAAGGAGGACACAGAATATGGTACCTTCTTTCCTCTGGAACGGGAGGGGCTTCTTTGGTATCCGTGTATGAAAATGACACAATGGCAAATGGATAGAGAGCACTGGGACACAGAGCTGTTCCGTTGCTTCCGTCATCGAGCAGCTCGTATATGTAATACTGAAAGGAAATTAAAGAGAAAAAAGTTACAAAATCGACACACCAGAAGAGAAAAAAAAACACTACCACCTCCCTGGTGTGTAGAGCTGGTTTCAGAGGACATACTACTAATCTACACCTTGTGCTTTTCAATGAGAGGGTTGCACCATCGTAGTCACATCAGTGACACTGAGCCCACTTAAAAACAGATAAAACTCTTACTTGTGTTCTCTCAAAGGCAAGAAAGGAGCTGGTTTTGGCAGAAACTGAAGGCAACTGTTCGGACACATGACAGTCAAAGCCCACAGTGGGTTCAGTAAAATTCTGGGTGTAGTTCTCCGCCACCTTTTTAACTTTACCCTGTTTGGAACAAAAACAAAAACGAATAAGGGATTTATTTTATTTTTTTTAGTGGGCAGATTTTATTTGTACTGGCAGCACTAATCCTATTCACAAATGTTTAGTTTCTCCATACCTTTGTCAGCTTGAAGATGGCGATGTATCCAGACTTTCCATGATACCAACGATTTAGATCCAAGCAGTCGGAGTACATTGATATGTAAACACCTTTTTGGAGAGAAAACTTTCACTTAATACAGTACTGGAGAAAAACCCGGTAAAATGTGGCATGCTCAACTTGTGATTATTCTTCCATTAAAGTGACATGTTACAGCAGGTCAACCGCAAGCATGAGAAATGATCATCCCACTTTAGTGAAAAGGCACGCCTATGTTCAACAACAATGGCTTCAGTCATCACCACTGGACAGGAGTTCAAAACCAAACAAAAAAAGCCCCAAAGCTAGCACAGGTACAGAATCGTAGGTCTTGGGCAGCTGTCGCTACCTCCCAGCGACGCAGATCACACAAATAAGTGTGTGTGATTAAAAGGAAGGGAGAAGAAGCTCACCAAAACCTGTCTGACTGGTTCTGTGTGTTTGTATGCAGACTGGCGTCTTAACACGGAGTCTTAACACCTGCAGTGTATTGTTGTGAAATGTTTTGTGACACCACCACCTAGACATAAATTCTAAACTTGATGAAACCTCTTCCTGAGGATGGGAGGTGAAACTTAGCTTACCCCGGCGCCAACGCGGCTACATACGATTACACCTGACACAGTGCAGCTCTTGTTCTCTTGTCTGACTCCAGTGTCCTTTTATCCTTTAGTTTGCACAAAAGGGCTCCATGAGAGGAGGAGAGAAAAAAGAAAAGAAAAAAAACTGGATGGGAATCCTCAACTATCACTGCCCTGTATTGGCAGAGGTGTAAATGTCCATTTAAAAAAAAAAAAAATAGCAATTTAGGATGAGTTAATATCAGAGGAGTTCACTGAAATCGGGGCCTTCACATAACAAACTGCCTCCGTGGTACAAGTTGTACTTTCTGTTTCACAACTGATATTCTTCCACTTTCAACCAATACACAGAGCCTTTGCATTTGCTTTCACTTTCAAAGGCACTACAGTGCCAGCTGAACAACACTAAAGACACTGACTTTCAGTTCTTTCCACTGATGCATCGGACCGGCTCTGCAGGGAGGATCTGCTTCCTTTAACCCTCCTTCTTCCAAATAACCAGTGAGTAAATCTAAGGTAAGAACATCTGTTCCTCCCTCCTGTTTATTTGTCAATGAGCATGTACAAAAAATGCCTCAACTCCTGTTGGAATGGAAAAAATGAGGCTGTTTGTTATTTACCCTTCGAGGGATCTCCCAGAGTCGTGCATGTGCTATTTCCAGACAGCAGGCCACTTTCCCCGAGTGCACTAGTCTGTAGACAAGTTAAAAAAAGAGATCAGCAAAAGGATAGAGTTTGATCGGGTGTGTCCTCTGAAGTGTGTCGGGGTCTTAAACTCGTACCTTGTTTTTATCGTCAAACAGCAAAAAGCCGTACGATTCACTGAGATCATGTTCTGAATATCCTGCGTCCTTCTTCTTTTCTCTGAAGGCGTAATACTGTTAGGGGGCAAACCGAGAGGAGAATTCAGTCGGAGAGCTGTGCTGCTTTCAAGCCTGCTTCCTGTTTTTCCAGCCATGGAGCACAGCTTTAGCTCCGGATTCTCTGCACAGGGGACCGTCCAGTCCAGAACTTTTAGCCATTACACCACATTACACGGAAACCACCGTTCCGGAAAAGTTATTCATCCGACCAGAACTAGTTTGAGTCACCACAAGTATTATGTGTTGTTTTTTATTATTTCAGAAGATGTGGAGTGCAAGAAAGAAAAACAAACAAACAAAAACAAAAAAAAACAAGTCGGGCTGACCTTTTCTTCCAGAGCAGGATTCCTCACCAAAAGCGCCGATTTGTATCTGAAACACTGCTTCGATTCATCGTACAAGTAGGAACTTTGAAGTGGGGCCAAGACACTGCTCATAAAAACTTCCGAGGACTCCGACACAGGTATCAAAACACCTAAAACGTAGACAAAAAACAACAACAACAACAACCAAATAAGACACGAGCGAATAACAGGAGACGCTGGAAAATTACTGCAAAAGGCAGATTGGATTTCAACCGGGAGAGGGAAAAAAAAGAAAAAAAAAAGAGCCTCCATGGCATTTCCCCAACCCTAACGCAGCCTGACCCCAGAGACGACATTTACCACGTAAATGTCCGTGTAATCACGCCAACACATGGTTTATCCCACAGCTAACCGGGCTTGAAAAGTACATTATCGTTTCGCCCCGAATGTGAAAGTCACACCAGAGAGAGAGGGGAAGCTCACCACCTTTACTCGAGGCTGCACCATTCCCACTTTCCATCGCTTATGAAATCTGTCCTTCCCCTCTTGGTCGTCGTTGAAAGCAGCAGCAGCCTCTGATTTCAAACATTACAGGAAAATTGGAAAAACCCATGTGTCCGGTCTCCTGTGAAGCACTCAAAGTCACTTGGGCTGTCGCCGCGGCTTTAACTGACATATTCATGCGACAACCAGGAAGTTGCCAAATAGCCCACAGTTCGAACAAAGAGGCAAATATGTCCACGTAAATTCACTTTTATTGCCTCCAAATGGATACGTCCGCTGAGGCGGAACGCCGCTTCGGTACCGCTAGCCGCTACTCGCTTGTAGGGTCGACGTACGTCGAGTCCCCTTCGAAAAAGAAACAGAAACCTATCGAGGTTAAAGCATCCATCTTGAAAGTCCAAACCAAACTGGGCTGGAGAGGCAGTTGCCGGAGAGCAGCGTCGTTGCTGTTGATGCCCGCGGCGAGCGTCTCGGGCTCGCGAGCGTCGCCGTCCCAAAAAAAAAAAATTCAACCAAAACAACCGAAAGCTTTAAGAAAAAGAGAACGGCGATGTAAAAGTCCTGCTTCACCGTAATTTCCTCGGCGCCCCCCTTTTTTTGTTTGCCCCCACTGTTCCACGCTCACAGCGTGGCGTAGCTTTCTGAGACTACTGGGGAAGTTGGTGGCAAAGCACGTTGCGTATTCCGGTGACTTTTGTGCTCACGGAACAGCTGCCGAACCTGTTTGTCGAGAAAAAAAAGAAAAGAACAACAACTAAATACTTCAACCCCATTTCAAACAACGGGGGCAAGATAAGCCAACGTGTGCGGCAATGAAACCGGAATACGACATAAAGGTGCTTCTTGGCACGAGCTAGTGGACAAAGTACAAAAATGTCTGATGCAAATAGGTCCCTTTCCTGACTACAGTCAGCGGAGGGACAATGGGGGCCTGTGGATACAGGATCCTGTCCACATATAGGGGCTTGTCACGGATTGGCATTTTTCTTTCATACTGAGGCAAAAGGGGCCCCTGGTCTTTGTTTGCAAAAAAGAAATCAACACAATATATTTGACAGGAGGAAAAATGGTAAAGCAATGACTCAGCAGAAGAAATTAGCAAGTATCTGCAAGTGCAAGAAGCACATAGTCATGACACCACTTGTTAGCTGGATCGTTTTATTGGCAGCCTGAGAATCTCCCTGAGGATCTCTATGAGGCAAGAGCCCAGAGTTCCAGGAGTAATGGGCATTTATCTTCTCGGGCTGGGCCTGCCCGCTACAGTAGGAGGGCTGGACGCACCCAGGTCTTACTGGCCAGAACCCCGTGTCATGATCAGGCCAGCTCCCAATCCATGCAGATTCCACTTAGGTGTGATAAGAAATGTGTGTGTCTGAGTGTTGTCCTTGAAGACGTGTATCTAATGTCTCATTCAAAGAAGAGGAATTTGGAAGTACAACTATAGACATAACATGAGTTCAGTGTCTGATTATAATTATTAAAACGAACAAAACTGTGGGTAAATTGCATGAAATCCAGAAATTAATCCAGATATAAAGTAAAACAAAGTAAAAGTAAGTAAATATAAGGCAATCCTAACAGGACTCAGAAGTGAAACCAAAGCTGCCCTGTTTCCACCTGCACAGAAAGAGAAACTTAACACCTATGAATAAGCAGTGAAGACTTCATACTTGAACGAGCCACAGATTTGGCCTTTGAGATGCTAAAGTTGAATTCCGCTTCTCATGTGTCAAAACCAAGAAACCCACTGTAACATCTCTATTAATACACCAGGTCTGGCAAATAGCATGACAGTGCTACACACATCCCTGCACCAGCCACCGTCTCGGCTTTTCATTAACATCCATCAGACAGCCATTAGCACCTTCTGAGAGGAGCTAAAGTTAGCCATTGCTAACGTGTGTGCATGATCCAGCCAACTTTAAGGCTGGATTCCGCATAACATTATTCATGCATAAATTATTTGGTGAGAGGAATTTAATCAAACAAAACCAATTAATATGAGAAATTCCATGAGAAATTCCATGAATATGAACGTAAAGACCTCAGAGACACTTTTATAAGACGTGTGGGATCTGAAGGTGAGTAATCCAATCCAATCATCACAGTTACAGAAGTTGGTCCAGACATAAATGAATTTCTGCATCTGAAAATAATATAATATATAAAGATGTAAGGAGGGTGGAAAACTGCATTAAAAACAAACATTTTGCAGCTGGATCGAGAAGTTATTTTCAAGTTCAAGATGTTTATGAATAAAATGTGCTGCCATGGAACCAGTTGACTTGTGTTTATTTACCTCATTCCCTCATTCTGTCCCTTTCCCCTCTTTGCAAATACATTTCTCTGCACCATTTAAAAAGAAATGACTCAAAGTTACCGTTACCATTTGAGCTGTGACAAAAAGCTCTATGCCAAAGTTTGCAGATAGCTATTTCCACTCCACCTGTAACAGCTACAAGACACCACATGTTTTCCACCCATCATTTTCCACACCTGGTTTGTCTGGAACCAGTCAAACTAGCATCCTGTGCAATCTTTTTTTTTTTTTTTGTTGCCTCCAAGCTAACCAGCTGTGATCAGTCCATATTTTCTTAACTCTGATCCATGAGGCTATTACGCATGCTTGACGTGTTTCCTTGTGGACCAATAGGAGAGCATCTCAAACCTGAGCAGGCAGCACACTGCGCAGTCTCCTGCCTACATTTCCCATGATGCCCCGCTTTTGTTTATTAAGGCTGGTCCTCAGCGGCTCCCACTGACCGCTCTGTCCAGGGCCCCCCGGCGTGATTGGTAAATATGCAGCCGGTGCAGTCTTCGTGGTTCTGCTCCAAACTCCATCCCACCCTGGGCTGAACCCGCCTGGCGAACTGCGAGGAGAAAAAAAAACAGGGGAACATGAAATGGAGATCACTCGGGCCAGGCCGTCTTTGTATGGAGAAATCGGTAAGTAGCTTACAGTTGGTGACTAACAGTAACCCAAGACGAGAGTTTATAAAAAGGTTCGGCGAATGACTGGGTGTGCTCGGTGGATAAAGTGGAGCTACACTCACACTTTCGTTTCAAGAGGACAACGTTCGCACAATTTGATGAGGGGGCTCGTTCAGCCTTTAAAATGCTTTCTGTTCCTCTGGGAGTATTGCAGCAAGGAGTAAGCTCGTTAAGAGTCCCTGTTTCAGATTTATGTAACAAAACATGGGCCGGTTAAATATACAGGTCAGCTGACTCAGCCACACATCCCAGAGAGTGTAATGCATATTGTATTACAGATTTGTTCAAATATACAGTGATAGTATGTGTGTGTTTATTTGGGGTGGGTGGGGGGAGAGGGGGTATTAAACGTGAGATTGCTCAGTGCGGGTGCACACATCTTAATTTAAGCCCACTGTCTCCTTTTTTTTAATGTGGACTGTGAGACATGTGAGCTGTCCGGACTTGTGTGTTAAACCTGTCCTGTTGTGTATGCATGCTTCCTACTCTAATTGGAAAAGATGCAAAAGGACAGTTCTAACCTCTGTGCAAATGTTTTTATCGCAATCAGAGGAGCTCAGTCTTGTTTTTGCTTCTCCCCCCCCCCCCCCCCCCCCAGCTCATGGCCTTGGATTCTGGACGGACCGGTCAGCGGTGCACGAGGCGGCCGCGCAGGGCCGAGCCCTCCAGCTGCAGCAGCTGATCGAGGGCGGCGCGGCGGTCAACATCGTGGCCGTGGACTCCATCACCCCCCTCCACGAGGCGTGCATACAGGGTCAGACCCAGTGCGTCCGGCTGCTGCTGAACGCCGGCGCGCAGGTCAGGGGTCAACGTCCGCGCTTGCTGAGAGGACCCGGCCGGGGTCGGCGTTTTCTTTTTTTTGGTGTCCCGTTGGCTCAGCGGCGTCTGTCTTCCAGGTGGACGCGCGGAACATCGACGGCAGCACGCCGCTGTGCGACGCCTGCGCGGCCGGCAGCCTGGAGTGTGTCAAGCTGCTGTTGGAGTACGGGGCCACGGTCAATCCCCCGCTCTTCACCTTCTCCCCGCTCCACGAGGCATGCATGGGAGGTGGGTCTCCCCCACTGTTTGTGCCTGGACCACAACAAAGCAGCAACATTTGAGGACAGATAAAAAGAAATCCCTTCTTTTTTTGGGTGTACACACATGTGTTATATCTGGACTCAGTGAGGTGAACCAGTGGAAACAGGAGCTACTTCAGAGTGTCGGTCATTTCTGGCATTTGTGTAGTATCACTTTTATAAAGTGTTTACATTTCCTGTCTGTCTGTCTGTAGGTAATTCGGATTGTGTCCAGCTCATGATTGAGAGAGGAGCGCTCATGGAGGCTCACGACTGCCACTACGGGACACCACTCCACGTGGCCTGTGCCAGGCAACATTACAACTGCGCCAAAGTACTCCTCGTTGCAGGTGAGTCCAGGCCTGCCCTCCGCTCATCCGACTGGAAGAAAATCAATGTATGCGCGAACACGGATTTGAACAGGGAGAATTTTGACATCGTCATTCGTGTACTGTACCTTTATCTTTCCCTTTTTTAAGGAGCAAATGTGAATGCTGCCAAGCTCCACGAGACAGCTCTTCATCATGCAGCTAAAACAAAGAACATGGATCTGATAGAGCTACTGGTGGAGTTTGGGGGGAATGTTTTTGCAAGAGATAACCTCAACAAGAGGCCCATTCAGTACACCAGTGCGGGATCGCCCTCATACCTCTGCCTGGAGTTCTACGAGAGTGAGTTTTATTCTCATTATCTGCGGGGTCCGTCCTGCCACTTATCGTACTCCAGCTCCAGGAAAATATAACCCACTGCTGTGTTTCTTCTCCAGATAACCCCCTCAGTCTACAGCAGCTCAGCAGAGTGACTTTGAGGAGGGCCATTGGCGCAAGGGCCCAAGAAGTAGTTTCCAAGCTGGGCTTGCCCAAGCGCATCATAGGCTTTCTGTCTTACACCCCACCTCCTATTATTGAGATTTAATCTCCTTTTGATCAACTTTAGCGCAGCTCTTTGAAGGTTAATGTCAACTATTTACATACGTTGCTGCCGTGGTTAGCTCTCCAGAGACTCATGTGATGGGATGCTGAGTTTGCAGAGGTAGCACAGGCCGGAGCGCGGCCGGACTAGAGGCGTAGGGAACTACTGTCGAGCACTTTTCTGACTAACTGTTTACACAGGTAAAGTTAAAATGGCTTATTTCTTTAGAAGATATAAGCCACATTTGAGTGTTTTCTTTACTTTTTCTTGTCATTAGGGACCAAGATGGGGAATATAAAGCCACCCGTGGTTAAAGCCAAAGATCAAAGCAGTTGCTCTTAAATTTCCCGTATAGTCATAATAATCATTTACAATTAATTAAATCAATTTGACTGATTAAGGCCCTCTTTCAGGACCATGTTCGTCCCAAGTCTTTTCACGTTACACAACCAGCCTTGATCTGTGTTTGAAATCTGTATTTGAACAGAGTCGGGCTGTTTTGTGTATTTCTCAGAATTTCCAAAGAGAACGGTCACCTTATCTGGGCGTGTTGGCGTGGCAAACACAACTGATCATATCACCGTATCTTGTTATGCTAAATCAAACCTGCGGGTGTATGTTATTGTATGTACTTGTACATATTCTGTTACTATTATTTATTTAATGTAAATTTGTAAATAATACAGATGGTTCTACCTCTATGAAGTTTATGTAAATAAATAGATTACAACATAATGATATAAAAAAAAATCTCTTTTTTGGTCATATCTGCTGTTGAAGTCAAAATGGAACTTCAATATACAGGCATTGCATCTTAAAAGTGGTCCCAGATTCTTTAGCTTTGTTTTTTTTTTTTTATCCTTAAATGTTTAGCGTTTAACCTCCTGAGACCCGAACTTTTATTTGATGTGCATTTTTTTCTTTTTTCAAGATCTATGGGATTAGTAGGACCTCATAAGCTTAATAACTATATTTTGTCATGGTACAGGTAGTTTTTCTTCATGTAGGCTCATTGGGTTTATCATTATATTTAAAACTTTTGTTTATGTAATGAAGGACAAAAACACCAAACCATGGGGAAAGTAATTCCAGTGACTATATCATGAATTCCAATTGCTGCGTGGACAGATTCAGGATAACAAGTATTAACTTTGTTTACACATATTCAATGCACTTTCTAAAAGTCTTTGCAGGAATTCCAATTACTGAAACCCTCTGAGCGACATCTCAGATTCTACGCAGTCATTTTTGTCTGAAATGCGTACAGGATCATAACCTCTTGAACAAACCTCAGATAGTTCCTTTGCTATGCAGTCAGACTCCAGCAAGACTTTGAATGCGGCAGAGACGAAGGTCTTGAAATAGACAAAGAAAACAAGTATATTAGACATCGCCACTGTCCTTGGACACACACACACACACAGATGGTTGGGAGCTCTTTCTGCTGATAGATTATATCAAAGCCCGTACAGTCGCCCACACACGGCACAAAGAGCTAGCCGATGCTCTTCTTTGTCCTAACATGCACAAAGACATGACTGAACAGGAGGAGCGGCTGCAGAACCTGAAATCTGGCAAGTGTTAGAGACAGAGTTACGTGCACAAGAATGCCACGCGGCAAGTCCCAATGAATCCATGCACCTGACCTGAGTTAGTCCAGTGACGATCAATGTGTTACACGCTGGTCTTTAACACCTGCTAAATGAAGACAACACACCAAGTCCACTCCTGGGAAAGTTTGACCTGAATGTTTTTCTTAATGATGCAGGAGAGCTGAGAATGCTCAGTCAGCCAAAGAAAACAATGGAGAGTAAAATGATTGTTTTGCTAGAGAAATGATGATTTAATGGATAAAAGAAAGTTTTTTCAAACTTCTAGGGTCTACGACGTTAGCGGGTCTTATGTTATCTATCTATTAACGTCTGTATCTATCCACATCTGCCTCTGTGTTACGAATAAAACGTTTTGTGCCCCACAGGAGATTAAAATCTGCCGAGCAAGCTCACCTCAGTTAAAGTGAGTTATTCAAACACATGTGGCTGACGTGGGTAAAATGCAAAAGTAGCCACAACACAAAAACAGAGATAATTTTTTAGTATAATGCACATTTCCTAAAATGTATGGTCAATCCCACCTTCATTTGTTGGCTTATGCCCCTTTGACTTAACAAGACGCACCCACCAAGGTTTTAAAATGTTATCCAAGGAGTGGCCGGCCAGAGCAGCCACGCTATCTGAAGGTGTGTTCGCTTCTCCTGGTCTGTAACTTGATCTTGCCAGAACCGCGCCCGCTTGTGACCTGCGGGAAGCTAGTCAGGATCTACTGAAGGCAACATGAGCAGCGGCACACGTCTGTTACACACAAAGTTCTGATTTTGTAAAACTTCGTGAGACACACAGCCAAGGCAAGTGCAGACTGCACGCAGCCCTCAGGCTTTTAGCAAAGCTGTGGTTAACTATCAATGTTGTTGGTGCAGAGAAAACAGAAGACTTGGTGCTTTGTAAGAGGCCGCTGTGGTTATTAGCAGAAGAGTGTCTGTGCTCAATGGGGGGGGGGGGGGTGGTGGTGTGAAGAGTGGCAACAGTTGAAATAAACATGCTTATCTATCTATCAATTATTTTTTTGTGTACCAAAAAAGGACCAAATTTCCATGATGATACCAATTATCTCCAGAGAGAATAACTGCTTGTCTGATCTCATCAAGCGGGGCAGAGGAAGGAAGTTCTGATCATAAAGATGACTCATGAGCTACTCTTTAGCGCACCTTCCACTTGTTTCATGTCCACCCTATGAAAGTGATGAAACTCTCCAGATGCTCCCTGTTCTTGATCTGATGAGGTCAAGCCCAATAAGATGACTGATTTGGCAGGTATGTAATATTAAGACTGTCAATGCAAATCGTTCTGTTCTCTTTCTGTCTAAGAAAAGACTGGATTGGTCAGCAGATCAGATGTGAGCAAACTCCTGTCAACCTTTGGAAAAACACCCACTTCCCACTGAAATGAAAAAAAATTACTTTTCTTTTCCTCAAGATTGTACGAAACCATTTCGCCTTCATGTCTGCAATGTCCTTAACTCAAAAGAAACAAAAACATTTTTGAAGAATGTGTTGTTCCTCAGTAAAGAGAAAATGGCAGTTGTGGGTTTGTTTGCTTAGAAAGGGTTGCGCCATAGCACTGAAAGGCTTTGTCAACAGTAAGGGGAAGTGACTCCGATCAAAGTCCAATCGTACTGAAGTGTGTACTGCAAGAAAAAAAAGAAGCAAATAAAACTCAGAACCAAGAGTGCAAGTCGAATGTTTTACTTTTTTCTCAATAAAACTTATTTCTTCTGTTATCATTTTCACTCAGAGAAATGTGGTCAGTCTTCCCACTTCCATTTAGCTCCTTATGGCTCATCAAACCTGAATAAGACTTATGTCACAGAAACAGCTTCCTCTTTGCAGCTGGGACATTACTGTATTTTTCTCCTGATCCCGCATCACAGGTAACTCTTCAAAAGGACAGCTTCACTCATTTTTCTGACACTCTTTAAACTGAAGATCCGCTAACATATTCAAAATTTGAATCCATCACTTTTTTTTTTTTTAGCTGCAGTGCCTATATGGTCAAGTAAAACACTTCACTTCTTTGTAAACTAATAACACATTTAAACGACAGAAATTTGACACGGACATAAGGAAGTTATTTGGGGGGGGGGGGACGGTTTCAGTGCAGCTAGAAAGGAAAGAACAGAGCATGATAGAAGGGGCCGCTGAAAAGAATTTGCTGGCATACAAACACGATCAAACAGGACACCCGCAGCAGATGTGTCCATCTGAGATGAACCCTGCTGGTGCTGCTACACTCCAGTTTCCGTCCTCCTTTTTGACTTCTGGTCCAGTCTGGTTTTGGAGAGCGTCTGGGGCCTGAGTTTGTGGCCGGAGACGGGCGGACAGTTCTCGTTAATTTCATCCTCACAGATGGTGGCAGAGATGGCGGAGGAGCGGCGTTTGGCACGGGTGGAGGCCTCCTGCTGGGCCCTGGCCGGAGCCTCCTGCTGGGCCCTGGCCGGAGCCTCCTGCTGGGCCCTGGGTGGGGCCTCTCCCTGATGGGCCCTGGCCGGAGCCTCCTGCCGCTGGGCACCGGGTGGAGCCTCCTGCTGCTGGGCTATGGCCGAGCGCAGGCAGTTGAGCCACTGCTGCTTGTGGTAGACGTCGCTGACGTGCAGAGTGTGCGACTGGCCGTGGGACGGATCCATGGAGCTCACGCGGAAAATGTTCTTGGCTACAGGTGCAGACATAAAAACTGATGAAGCTATAATTCAGGCTACATAGTAAAAAACCTATATATATAATAATACTTCTGTCTACATGGTTTACTGTGCTACACATATTAGTTTGTACTACTGGTTATTTACCACCTATCACCTTACATAATTGGCGCTGTACTTACATTTGTACTACTTTCTGTAAATAAGAATATTTTTGCAACTTTTATTGCTTTTTTAATTTTGTGTTCCTTACCTTTCTGCACCATAATTTCCCAGCTTGGGATCAACAAAGTACATCTATCCATCTTCATTGCACATGAAGAGCTCCTTTTTGCTAAACTGACCATCATGGGACGCAGCAGGTCCAAGCCTCTGATGTTACATTGCTTCCGTTTTCTACCTGGAATAGACTGCTATGCTCCAGCAATCAACTAGCTACGGAACATGACCACTCAGTGAAAGAAGAACTCAATACACAAACCTCATTCACAGCTAAATTGGGACATTTTCTGGAACGCAAACTTCAATGTGTAACTTCTGTTGTGCTTGAAATGAATAACAGAAGACTCAGGGCACCGAGGCAAATGACGGGTATGATAATCCTGTAGGATGCCTTCAGAGGACACTGCATTATGTTTATACCTGTGTCTTATATTCTGAATATGCATCAGACATCATAGAGTGGGGTTCCACACAGCAACAATGGAGCCCTTAAGTTAGCTGGATTTGGCTTGTTCAACAGCAAGTTAAACAGCGGAGGAGGCAATTATTTCACTTTTCATGTCCTTGTGTCCTCATCTTCTAATATAACTCCCACTCACAGCTTAGGCACTGGTTGAACAGTGGCTGACTCAAGAATGGGGGGGCATGCTCAAGCAGGAATAAGCCATTTTTAGGGCCTGGATTAATTTTGCCCTGACATTTTAGCCACGATAATGTCAGGATTACTAAATCCAACAATCAGTCTAACCCGGGAAAGATTTCAGATTTACATGGACGCAAAACTTAGCTTAACTCGGCTCCACCTGCCTCTTGAGCTGGGCCTTTTCTAGACTTTGTGCTCTAGTGCAGACAGAATTTTGCCCGGATTATGACAGTGTCTCCTTATGAAGCCGTCTCAGAGACAAAGGATGTAATTTCCATTCCGTCTTGTGGGAAATGAAAACAGAGTAGCATCAGCCCCCGTGAGGGCGACGTTTCTAGCTCACCTTTCTCTCCATTGGTGAAAGCCCCCCTGAAGGACCCCCCCATGCGGATCTCTCCGTCCTGCAGGTCCTCCAGAGCCAGGTCCCGCACCGGGATTGGCTGTCGGTACACCTGGAAGCAGCTCCTGTCGTTGCGTGTGACCGGCCGGGTCAGAACCAGCAGCTCAGAGAAGAGGAACACATGTAGCCTCTGAAACGGCATGGGAATGGGGGAATGAGAAGGATGCACGGATGCTGCACGGGGACAGTGGGGAGGGGGAGAAAGGACAGCAGATACTCACTGAGCCACTCTTTGTCCGCAGCTCGCCGTGACACAGCAGCGCCTTACAGTTATCTATGAGGGGGTCCCGCTGCTTGTCATCCAAAAACTCCAGTTTGTCTATGTAATACTGGCACTCAGACTCCCCTTTCCTCAGATTGATATCAGAAAGAATCCCCTGGATTATAGTGATCTGGATAAAAAAAAGAGGACAGTTAGATGGAGCAAAAGCTAAATGGTGCAGAAAAATGTCTTTTGAAACTCTGCCTTTTCTCGGGGGACATTGGTAACATACAGCTCTCTCCAGACTGGCTACGTCGGGGTGATCAGGAGGAGAGTGTCTGAGGATCTCTCTCAGCAGCAGTGGGTATTTCACCAGACGTGAACGTGGGATGTCCAGGAAGCTCCACAGGTCCAGCTTCCTGCTGAAGGGGGACTCCAGACAGCGCTGCAGGAAGTCCTGGACCCGCCTGTCCTGTTTCTTCTGGTCCAGCAGGGCTTTGGCTGCCAGCTGGTTGCTGCAGTAGTTTTTGTACGCGTTCAGGCCGGGCAGCTGCCAAGACAGGGCAACGTTAGCAAAGTTCTAAAATACCTAAGTCCAATTCACAAAAATGACTGTACTATTAAGAATTTTACAGCCTTTAATTTAACTACAGAAACACTGCTGGGTGATCCCTTTTTGACCGTTCACACACCCATTCTATTACGATCTGCCCGATCTGAGCTACTGTTCCATCGGGGCCAGTTTCCTCCGTCAGCTTCATCAGCAAGTCTGTTCATTGAAAAACAAAAAAACTGGTTAGACACGCTAACAGCAAAAGAGGACTGAGAGCACTTTAAGGTGGACGCTGGTGAGAGGCAGCTCACCCTCATGCAGGGGGATGTAGGCATCCAGGTCACCGAAAATGTGGGCTAGCTCCTCCCCCGTCATAATGGCCAGCTTTAGCATGGGGTCATGGTAAGCCTGAAACGTGGGAAACACAGCCAATTGTTTGAAACAACAAACAAACTAAAAAACAGAATCAAAGAAAGCATTTTTCTGAAATGTACCATCACCGACCTTTCGGGCAAGTTGGAGATCCTCAATGAGATCCTGCTCCCCCCTGAAGAGTTCATAAATTGCCTAGAAGATGGACGACAAACACAAGAGAAATGACTTCTTCTGCTCTCCTGCCCTCCACATGCAGGTTTTGACTGTAAAAACCAAACTGCACCACCTCCTGTCTCTTGATCTCTTTGGTGGAGAAGGTGCTCTTCTGGTGGACGTCCAGCGTCTCAGACCACAGGGTGCTGTTCCGGCGTTTGGTCGGGGTCGGCCCTGACGCCTTGCTGCCCGATTTCAGATTCAGCCCCGGTGACTTGCTGTCGCCGCGTAACGACATCGACTGCAAAGGGAAAATGAAATCCGCAAATTTTAGCGACCCGACACGCACGTCAACCCGTTTTCAGCCCAGGCCTCACAGCGGCTGCTGGTGTACCTGGATGGTCTGGCCGAAGCGCCGCACTGCGCTGCCCTTTGATGGAGATATCAGGTTGACGAGGGACGAAACTTTGGTCAGCGGCCGCACACGCTTGTTGGTGGGCTCCTGCAAAGTACAGCGAACTTTATGCAATGTACAACAAAGATGTCAAAAGGGCAAGCCGAATTAGTGAAGTAAAGGAACATACAAGTTTTGTTAAAAACCACCATAAGCGACATTACTGACTTACTGAAAAGCATAGGGACTACAGAGCTTTAGTTATTGTGCTGAGGGTCCCAGGTTTTGGTATTTCAAAAAGCTAAAATTCCTGTCAGGTCGGGTTTGCGGCCCACAACAGGATAGACACAATTCCACGCTGAACTTTTGGTTTGGTTCTATTACTGTCAGACAGACGCCTAATAGTTCCTTTTAAGTCTCATGATGCAGACTTTGGAGTCATGAGACTTTGCTGAACTCGCAGATGAGCTGAAGTTCCCTCTTTAAACTTGTGTGCGCTTTTGGGCCAACAACAGCGCCAAGCGCCAATTCAAAGCAGCCAATTGGAGAAACTCCCTTTTCCACAATTATTTTTCCACAATTGTCTTGTTATCCTTGTCATTTTTTATCAGCCTTTAACACTTTAATATCTAAAACATAGAAAGAAAAATTTAAAGTTTTTAAAAAGAGATTGCCTAGAGATTTAAAACAAATAATGTAGAGCTGCATAATTTGGTTATAATGTTTAACTTTGATGGGAAAGCACACATCAAAAACACTAACATATTTCAATAATTCGATATAAGCAGCAGAAGTAATCAGAAATCATTCTCTTTTAAACTGTGAATAACTCAGTTTTAAAGTCATGCTGTGCCAATTGCCTGAATTTTTTTCAATTATATCTGTGTTACTGATAATACATCTAAAAGATGCTGTCAAATAAAGAGTATTCTTTTGTGACCGAAATAAATATGCAAGTTGAGTACGTGTCGATGGGAGGAAAATTAACCCATTTCAGAGAAACACTGAACAAGACACCTGTCGTAACACTGGGGGAGGATGAAGCTGGAATTTTCTGTGTCCATATTTTCCTCAGACTGGTTTTGCCGGTCTAAGGGACAGCAGGATTATCCTGAGCTCAGAACACTCGCAGCTGTCTGTGGTGAAACACTGAGTCATGCAGGGGGATTAAAGTTTGTTGTGGGGATGCATTTGAGGGTGCTAACGGCCTCCTGCAGCGCACTGGGAGCGGGCCGCCTCACCTTGAGGTCAAAGCTGGACAGGCTGACGGTGTCATCCTCCTTTTCTTTACGCTTTCTTTTCTGCAAAAACATGAGTAAACAGGCAGGTTAAAAACCTGCCGAACACAACACACGCGCAGCAGAATATCTGGTAGACACATGCCAGGACATTTGCCAAATGATATGCAAAAGCGTGGTTATTGAAGTAAGAGAAAACAAGCTTTATCATCAACTCACCAGACTGAAATCCCACGGAGTCCCAGGAGTGAGAAAGGTAAAGGAGCTGCCTCTCTGCAGCGGTGGTCTGAAAAAAATTAAATAAAATCAGATTAATACTTTTTTTTGTTGGCCTTGCACAACGAAAACAATCTTCCATAAAAAAACTAATCTACTCCATGAGTTAATGGTGGCTTGATGTAGCTGATGACTTCAGCAAGTCAATTTGATGTGAGACATTTATCTGAATGACTACATGTTATGAGCGGGGGGCTTACAGCACTAACATATCTATGGAGACTATTCTAAGGACATTCTTCTCCCAATTATGTCATGTTATGTTTCAAATATGACAGATGCTGTAGAGTGCCTGCAAGATTGAAACATTGAAATCCATATAAGGAGCTGTTCTTCTCTGTGAAACTGCAGGAAAGTAGTCGATTATATTAACAAAACACTGATGCTACAAAGTGTCACGACACCCAGAGGGGGCTGTCAAGGCCAGCTGAACACACAGCCCTGTGCCTCAGCTCATCACATGAGAGCACGTGCACTCTTTGTACTTGTAATGCTTCACATTTCTGCCCAATCAGAGCTGAGATGAAATGCACAGCTCATCAGTTAATAATAACATAATACTAATTACATTGTGTGTGGTACATTGTCATTTTCTAAGCCACAACGTGCACGGTTTGCATGGCTATCATTCATAATGATCAAATCATTATTTTTGTCACCAGAATCTGTGGCTTTTTGCATTACTAAGTGTGCTGCTTAGGTAACTGTAATCTTATTCAGCCAAAGAACAGCAATCACAATGTATGTGTTACATTTCAAGTCAGCATGATTTTTACAAAAAAGCCTCAATTGAATAAACAAAAGATAAAGAAAGAAAAAGCATTTGATGACAAACATGGGCTCATATAACGCAGTTGGTTTTGATTTGCAAATGCACTTGGGCTCCATTACCAGACGTCTATAATGTAACATAGTGGTGTGGCACGATTCTTTAGACCTGAAGACCACACGCAGGTTGTCACATAAACAAAACGTCGAGGTGTACCTGAACGCATCATTTGCCAGTTAGTATGAGCCCTGCCCGAAACCTCGTTATCTAAAGTTGTTCTTTTGTTTATCGTCTCGGTAAATCCCGTATTGTACTAAAATTGTAAAATATCCGCTTTTATATACACAATGACTTACTTCTTGGAGTTTTTTCTTCGCAGTCTCAGCGGAGACCGCTCCGCAGCGCTGATGACACTGGTAGTAGAAGTCCTCGATGACATTCTGCGGAGTTTCTTTTTATTGTTTTCCGGAGTCCCTCTGCTCACCTCTTCGCTGTCGTCCATTTTTTTGTTTTGGTTTACTTTTTAAATCCCTTATACTGAATTGGTGGTACGATTAAATGAACAAGATAATAAGTCCACACGTATAAAAACTGGCTTGATTTACACAAAGAAAATCGGACACTGATGACAACAGAACCCACACCACGGCGGAAGTTTGAATATGGCGGATTATTAGAAACGGACCAATCAGGAGACGAGTAGGAGCTCCGCTGCTGAGATGGAAGGAGATGGGAGGAGCCAAAGTGTGAAAGCAGCCAGTAAGAGAGGCGCCCGAAAGTAGCCAAACAAGATAAATGAAAACCATGTATCTGTGAGGTAAACTGAGTTAGACTGCAAGAAACCTGTAGGCTTTATTATTTTCGAGAAGAAACCGCGGAGATGTATTAAAAAATGTTCTATGTGAATATGTAAACACACGTAATTGCCCATGTTGACGGTTTTATACAAAATTGATCAGTCAGAGATTAATACTATTTGGTAAATTAGGTTAAGTTTCGTTGGCAAATTTGAGTTTAAAGTAATACTGAGGTAAATGACCATTTCAATGAGTAAATGATAATATTTTATTATTATTAATAGCTGCCAGTTATGAGTGGGTTTCCCTGATTTCACAAAATGTGAGGATATCTGCACCAATGGCTAAATAAGGAAGATGGAAACGCTTGGAATTATGGCTGGTAGTTGGAAAGAAAATGACATTTTCATGTCATGATTTCCTGATGATAATCTAAAAAACGGCTGATAATTCAGTCTCATAATGTGGAGCACTGCTGGTTTGTCATGCATATTGTGCACCAATTTAATGTGAGCTTAGGGCCTCCAAATAAAAACTAATTAACTGCTTTATTCATCATGCATGCTTTTTACCACGGTTTACACCTTTGCACTACGCCGTCTGTCTAAACATTTAAACATTTTTCTTTCAATTTTGCTGCTTCTTTTGTCTGTCGAGAGACCTTCAGGGCAGCTGAATTCATTGGGGCCTTGAAGTTTACCTTTGAGTTGTATTGTATAGTTAAGATGTGCTTAGCCCTGCGATGCACAGTACGGTTGACCTTACACCTACAGAGTGTTGGAGAACAACACAAGCCCACATTTCATTATTTGCTATGACTGTCAGGGTTAAAAAGTTAACCTGAAGGACTGGGGAATGAACAGTTTCTGTCAGATGTGATTTAAATAATGCCGTCACCAGAGCTCCAGTAAATTGATTTCTTGACTTTTGCTATCCAATAAACAATCTTGTCACCTTCAACTAAGAATCAAGATTAAATTTCAGGCACCTGAGCCATTGCTGTGACCTCATCTAGGGGACGGTTAGATCATCAGTCACACAGGATTTGACGGGAACCTTGAACCTTGCATCCCTGTCCTTCAATGAGTGAATCGTCAGCTGGGTGAGACATTTATTTTCATACTCATACTCTGTTTTGTGATGCCTGACCCCACTGCTGTGGTGTCTTCATTTTGTCAAGAGAGCTTTTGAAGTCGATTCTGTATGACCAGATGTATATCATCAGGTTCACGAAAAATAAAAACACAATGAGAACGAAACACATTGACCAACGATGGAGTGATGTAAGTACAGGAACATCTTTCCCTGACTTTTAACCAGTCTGATGGACATTTACTTACATTAAAGAATTAAAAAAATATTCACCAAAGTCATGGAAAAAATGCTTAAAATGTTACTGTCCTATTCATATTTAGTCCTTTAATTTACATTGCTATAAGATCCACACTAAGTTAATTGTTTCATTTATTGATATAAATAATAAGACATCCAAGAATAAAACATGTTAAAGGGACATTTTCTTCCATTCAATTGGATGCTTATGTGTATCAGATATAACTCCAGCAATTTATCCTCTGACATGGCCAGTCAAAAAGCCAATAAACTTGGAAGGTATGAAAGGTTAAAACAATGTTTTTTGGCAGGGGACTTTATTATCAGAAAAAAAGAATAGCACAGAAAAGTTTTACACTTCAAAAACATGCACTTAAAACAACAGAAAACAGGTTAAATTCCACATTTTAAAACAAGTGCTGTAACTTCATATTTATTCGGCAGAATGAAAGACAGGAAACATTTTCTAAACCTGATATCAAGAAAATAGTGAAAACGGTACTAAGAAAACAAGGGAGGAATGTTTCACTGCAATGCATTTCTGTGTCTGATTTTAAAAAGAAAGACAAGAAAGGTGGTTTCACAGGACATGCACATCTGAGCTGGCCCACAAGGAGGGAAAAGGAAACAAGAAGATGGACAGCAGCTGTGAGCACTTAGAGAAAAATCAGTTGAGTTCTACACAAGTGTGACCTACTTTTAGGCATCCGTTTATTCATGTACAGGGTCTGTACATGCTGGTAGTCCACCTCCCAGAACACTGATTTCATGTGGTGCTAGAGACTGGGTACAAACATCTACGCCACCAAATGAAATCAGTTTCTGAGTGCAGTTCTTAACACAACAAGAAATACTCACCATCAAAAGCAATGCTTTACACAGCCGTCTTAAAGTCTATCAGTTACTGAGAAAAGAGCTATCTGATGTTATGGACCACAAACCGGGTCAGCATGTTGTAAGTGAAAGCAAATGTTAAGCTAGAAGTGTGTGTGTGTGTGTGATGAACAGCAGAGGGGGTGCTTCTGTAGTAAGACGCAGCCAAACTCTCTGGTGTGTAAAAGAAATCCAATAGTGAACCCTGTGGAGTTCAAACGGGTATTTTTGGAGACACTACATCAGCAAGGCTTGGTGGGAATTCCTGGGTGTCTCCTGGTGCTCCACTTGCTTGATTCAGTGGCCCTTCTGCTACAGCACAAATTGGTCAACATGAAAAATCAGATCAATTCCTACCAACATCACAACACATTTGACGACAAATTAAGATAATGTGTCATCTTTAGTCAGGATAGAAGTCAGACACGTGTTTGCATCAGCTTGACGTGGTTGATTCTCTGCTCCATTTGCTGACAGAATAAATAAATAAATACATAAAAAAATAAAAACATAGACTCCCAAACATGCATCCCCCTCCATGACCTTACTAGGAATAGGCGGTATAACAACTGGATGGATGGATACATACATATTTTTTTAATAATTCCAATTATCACTACTGCTTACCCTGGTGATTGGCACAGACTTCTTGGCTTCAGATTTCACTGCCTTTGGGTGAATCTCATTTTCACTGCTCTCTGGGATGTTGCGTTGTTGTCACATTTGCTTTATCCTCCCACCTTCTCTTGGACATGATTCAAGTTTGCCAGATATTTTCATTGAGATTTGAATCACCCATTTTCTTTGTTCTTTGAAATTTTTGTCTATAACAGTGTTTAAAATTGAAATGAATACAAACAAAAACGTCCAAATAAGTATAAAACTCAGCACAAGGGAAATGTAGAACCAATGAAAATGATTTAAAAAAAACAACTAAGTTTTACTGAAAGCTTGTTCAAATAAAGCCACCAAGGAACACAAAAGTAACAATAACCAGTCTATGTGTTGGTGTGGAATAAAAATAGTGTCGATTTCGAGAAGCTAATAATATTTTGATTTTAGGACAGAGCAGCACATTACTTATTTTTTCTTCTAATATAAGGACTTTTCGCACAGCTAGGTTTATCATTCTTCTTGTTTGCACTCATGAATGAAGTGAAGTTGGCTTCCTGTGAAGCAATAAAGTAGAAAACCAGCTGAAAAAGACAAACTGAGCATTAGATGTTACAGACACAGAAAACATAGACAGGACATTTGTCTGATGTGTGTTTCTTGGCTGCCTCCCACAGTGCCGCTTGCCTCTTTCAGTTTTGTTTATGAGATTAAACGCTACGCGATCCAAGCAGGACGTAAGGACATTGCGAGCCCCACGTTGCAGGTTAGAAAACACAGTTCATTTGAAGCAGGTTCAGTAACCACACTCGACCAGCAGTGAGTCATGTCTGCAGATACGTGCCTTAATTTAAAGCTGAACAGGGTACAGGTTTATTGTGTAACGAACAGTGTATCATACCTCCTCTTCCACCTCTTTCCAACCATCCTCCAAGACCACTTTTCATTTATCAAAAATATAAAAAAAGCACAGAAAACATAACTATTGACTTATTTAAAAAGAAAACAGGAAACATTATCCCAACTGCTTTGTCATGGGAGCAAAAGTACAATTCTTTTCAAAAAGGAAAAGCAATCCTGCCCCCCCCCATTAATGGTAAGTGTTCTGAATCACCAGGTTGACATAGCTAAATGTCACTTGAGGCCCCAGGTGGTCTTCCAAGAACAGGCATTCATTAATTTGCCTCTGATGACTCAGATATTTTCAGTCTATGTCATCAACTGTCCGACTGCCCAAAACAGGAGTGAGTCAGTCAGACATCACCGGAATAAAGGGAGCAGGAATCAGTGTGTGCGCTCATGGGGGAGGAGCAGGATGTGAAGCTCTTCCTGAAGGTGGTGTGCTTCCAGTCACAACTTCACGTCCTCATCTGAGCAAAAGGTCCTCAGCGTGCTTGGGAGAGTTCACACACGGGGCAAAACGGGCAATAATCTTCAATAGCATAAAGTGTGTTCATTGACTATAAGGAGACATGTGAAACAACAGAGGGAGGAAATGTCAGAACATTTAGCCAAACCAAGGACGCTCTGGCCCTTGTGCTCTTGAAGCCAGGACTGATGTTGGATTGAATCAGTTTGTGGCCAAGACTATGGGGAAACATGCGTTATTTACACTTAAATGTAATTACATCTAATTATTAAAAAAAAGAACAGTCCTCATCATGACAGCCATTTGAGAGGCAACGAAGCAGAGACAATATCGACAGATCCGTGGGAAAGATCTCCTTTTTTTCACACATGGGTTCGACACGCACGTCATTTTCAAAGAGGATGTTCTCAAAAATGAACACCCTGAGTCCTTTTTGAGACAAACAAAACTTGCGGCTTTGGAGGTTTGTTGTGCCACCTGACATCTGCTGCATCATCAGTAAGGTTTAGATAACCGACAGATGGCTGTAGCTTCACGTCTAACTCACAGCAAGATATTTTCTGAAATGTATGAACACGGTTCAGTGGATGAGATACTTGCCACGGCTCTGGACAGCCTGGGAGAAGGGTTCAGACTTATTTCTGGTTCCTAAAAAGAAAATATAGG